ATACTTTGTTTACTGTTTATCATCTCCCTCCCCTGCCAATGGGACCTTTGTCATATTGACCACTGTATTCCTAGCATCCTGCACATAGTAGGAACACAAAAGGTATTTGTTGAATGAGTGAATGGATGGATAATGATTTAAAAAGCATGCTCTGGGGCCGAGCCCGTGGCACACTCAGGAGAGTGCAGCGCTGGGAGCGCCGCAGTGCTCCCGCCACGGGTTCGGATCCTATATAGGGATGGCCGGTGCGCTCACTGGCTGAGCGAGGTGTGGCCGGTCTCAAAGAAAAAAAAAGACAAAAAATAAATAAATAAATAAAAAGCATGCTCTGTAGGTTGGCCAGTTAGCTCAGTTGGTAAGAGTGCAGTGTTGTAACACTAAGGTCATGAGTCTGGATCTCCATACTGGCCAGCTGCCCAAATAAAAAATAAAAAGTATGCTCTGAATTGCCTTGTTTTGAATCCTATTTCTACCACTTTCTTAACTGTGATCTCTAGAAAGTTACTCAATTTCTTTAAGCTTTTTTCTTCCTCTTTTACATGAGGCTAACAATAGTACTGTCTTCGTAAGGTTATTAAAAAGATTGGGATAATCCATATCAAACATTAAGAACAGTTTCTGGCACAAAATAAGCTTAAAAACAAGGGCGAGTGGGTAGGAGAGAACATTCTAGGAGAGGGAACAGCCAGGACTGTGCCTTTATAAATATGGGGCATATTTTGAGTTAGAACTTTTTATAAACATAAACGGCTATTGAAAAATATATTTTTTAGTTCACTTTCCATAATTATCCTAGTTTTCATGAAATAAACAAAACAATAGCATCTGACTCTCTTATCTGATTGTTGTAAGAAAATCCAATACTTGGAGTTTTTCTCGTGACATGTAAAATGTTCTTGTTGGAAGCTCATATGAAGCCTGGTTTGGGGAAAGGAGCCAATTCAAGAAATGGTGTTGGTATTTGGACTACCAATTGCTGATCAAAATGCAGTTAAAGTTTTTATGTCCACAGAGTTATGGGAAATCATTTTATGTCAGTTGTACTGTCATGAAAGCACAGCCAGAGCCCATAGGGAAGGTCGTCTTCATAGCTTAACTGTCAGAGTCTAAGTATTTGTTTTCATTGGTAGTTTGACCATTTAACCAATTTGACCAGCTATCTTGAGAATTTCTTCAAACTTAAAGAAATCTTCAAGATAAAATATTAACAATTTTTTACCTGATCATTTTTACATAATCCAGCAGCCTTTCTCTTTTCGCTGAAAGAATCCCTTATAATGTATAGTGTATTTTTTAGGGAGAAGAAACTTCTCCCTCCCCAACTTTTTATTTTGAAACATTTTAAACCTACAGAGAAGCTGAAAAAAATAGTACAATGAACTTGTGTATATCCATATTTATATATTTTTTCTGAATCATTTGTCAGTCTTTTTTTTTTTTTTCCTTTTTGTCTTTCTTCGTGACCGGCAACGGATCACAACCCTCAGTGTCGCGCCCGTACCGGACCGGGACCGGCAACGGGATCGCAGCCCTTGGTGTTGCGCCCGCACCTCGCTCAGCCAGTGAGCGGCCGGTCTGTATGTGGGATCCGAACCCTCGGCAGGAGCGCCACCGCACTCCCAAGCAGCGCACTGTAGCAGTGCGTCACCGGGCCGGCCCTTCTGAATCATTTGAAAGTTGCAGGTATTAGCATAGTTTACTCCAAATGCTTCGATATGTATCTCCTAAAATCAAGGATATTCTCTTAATACCATTACCCCATCCAAGAAATTTAATACTGATTCAGTATTATGCAGTAAGCAGTTCATTTTCAAATTTCCCTAAACATCTCAAAATATTTGATGTTAGAAGAATGAGAGAGAAAGAGAGAGAGTATGTTTTCCTTTTTGTCTTTTTGTCTTTTTTTTTTTTTTACTGACCGGTAACGGGATCGCAACCCTTGGTGTCGCGCCCGTACCGGGGACCGGCAACGGGATCGCAACCCTCAGTGTTGCGCCTGCACCCCGCTCAGCCAGTGAGCGGGAACCGGTCTCCACATGGGATCCAAACCCTCGGCGGGAGCGCCACCGTGCTCCCAAGCGGCGCACTCTCCAGTGCGCCACCGGGCCAGCCCAGAGAGAGTATGTTTTAATCCGAGATCCACCTTAGGTTTATACATTGCATTTGGTTATGATGGCTTTTATCTTTCATTACACTGATATTTTTGAAGAGACTATGCCACATTCTGATTTGACTGATTATTTCCTCAAGATGAGATTTAGGTTAAACATTTTTGGTAAGAGTGCTAATGGTGATGTCTTGTACTTCCCATTGCATATCAGTAGACATAAAATGTTAATTTGTCCTGTTATCAATAAGATTAAAGTTTAATAAATTTGGTTAATGTGAAGTTTCCCAGTTCTCCCCATTGCAAATATATCATTTTCCTTCTTATTAATAGGTATCTGGGGTAGACTTGGGATTATGTGAATATTCTGTTTCCTGTCTACCTTTCATGCAATTATTTTAGCATTTATTAATGATCTTTGCCTAATTCAGTTACTGCATCTGGGGTTGCAGTATGGTAATTTTCCAATTGTTGATCCTTCTGCATTTATTAGCTGGCTTTTTTTTTTTTAAGGTGAGCTTTCCCTTTTTCTCTCTTTCTTTCAGTATCACTATGGACTCATGGATTCTTTCTGTACTCAGTGTGCTGTATTTTTTTTTCTGTTGTTACTCTGATTTACTGGCCAGTGGGAGCCCGAGTCCTTTTGAGGAGGCACCAGCAGTCTTTGAGTTCTTCTAGCCTTTCTGGCACAAGATATTTCGGGCACACCTTGTATGTTCCTTGCTCCAAACGTAGAAGCAGCCATTTTCTCAAGGAGCACTGGTTCCTTTCAGTGGGGAATAGTATTTAGAAACCAAGATCTGGGTGATAGGTATGCTTAGAAAATAAACTTTTAAAAACCACTGCCTATCATTTTGATAGTGTGTTACCGTTATTTAAGAGACTTTCACATGTTTTTTAAATGGTTCATCTGTTGGGCCTTTCTTCAGTCTTGTGTGGTAGGCAAGTCAAATGCTAAAATCTTCATTTTAAAGGTGAAGAAAGTGAAGTTTAGAGAGGATTTAATTTTCCCAGAATTATAAGGCTAGTAAGAACAGGTGCCAGGACCAAAACTCAAGTCTTTTACTGCTAGTTTGATTTTTTTCTTTCTTTCTTTCCTTTCCCCCCCCCCCCCATACTTACAGTCTCCTAAAAAGTGTGCTTGCATATCTAATAAAGCTGTGTTGTTGGCTGTTGGTCTTGGTCATTGCCAGCCTCACTAAAGAGAGATGCTTCCTTTGTGAGACTAACTGATAAATATTTGCATCCTTCTTAACATTGCCTTTGGGAGCTCCTTCTGTAATGGAGTTTGCTAAGGAGGCTTTCAGTGTGCTGTGTGATGATGGGATGTTTGACATGTGACTTGGAGAGCTCTGTTTGGAAACAGTGCATAGTCATATCTAAACCCTCTGTCTTGTGACAGCCTGCAATTGGGTCACTCCTAAGGAACCAGAGGAAGCAGGAAACCCAAGCAGTAGATCTTAAAATGCTATGCTTATGCTATGATTTAGTATTTCATTATTGAAGGGATCTTTTATTATCCCTAGTTGTTTTATTTTCATTAAAATTCAAGCTTTTCAGGGCCGGCCCGGTGGCGCACTGGATAGTGCGCCGCTTGGGAAGCGCAGCGGCGCTCCCGCCCGAGGGTTCGGATCCCACATACAGACCGGTTCCCGCTCACTGGCTGAGCGAGGTGCGGGGGCAACACCGAGGGTTGCGATCCCGTTGCCGGTCCCGGTCCGGTACGGGGGCGACACTGAGGGTTGCGATCCATTGCCGGACACGGAAAAAAGACAAAAAATAAATAAATAAAAATTTAAAAAAATAAATAAATAAAATTCAAGCTTTTTTTTTTCCTTTTTGTCTTTTTTACTGACCGGTAACGGGATCGCAACCCTCGGTGTTGCGCCCGCACCGCGCTCAGCCAGTGAGCGGGAACTGGTCTCCACATGGGATCCGAACCCTCCGCGGGAGCGCCGCCGCGCTCCCAAGCGGCGCACTCTCCAGTGCGCCACCGGGCCAGCCCTAAAGCTTTTTTTCATTAGCACTCCAAGGAACCTTTTTAGACATTTTTTCCCTAATCTCTCTCCACCGTGAGATTTTAATACTTCAGATATACTGTGTATCTGTTTATATACTGTATGTTTATTTGTGCCTTAACATAAAAAAAGTAATTTTTTTTTATTTCCCAAGAACAATTTTTGCCTCCTTCAAGGGTGACATTGCCCTTATTTATGGTATGTGGAGTAGATGGAGAACTGAAGGATAAATCTGATTTTTATTATAATAACCCATTTTGTATTATAATAGTATATTTTAAAATAAAGTGTCTTTCTTGGACAACCAAATGCTATCTGTAAATTATTTCAATCCTAATAGCACTATGAGCTTTTAGTTACCTGAAAGCTAAATTCATCCCACCACTGCAAAGATAGTAATTTTTCACTTTTATGGGTCCCTTCTAAACAGCTAGATAATTGGGACTTTTTATAATACTAGTGGATTTAGTCTTTTCCAGTATTGTTTTTCTCTAGAATTCCTTGCTGTATAAGATATTACTTAATTGTATTTTAAACATTTAAGGGACACATGCATTTTTCCCCCTCAAATCCTCCCCCCCTTCTCCTACCACAACCCCAAGTAAAAAACTCTTGAGTCTTTGAGGAAGTAGAAACAGAGAAACTACAATTAAAATGTTTTTGTGCATTTATTCATTACAGACTCTCCTGTGTGCTTTCTGGTTTTTTTTCCCCTAAGCATTTCTCTCATGTCTTTTATTATTGTTTCCTGCCTCTGTCTCTCTTATCTTTATTTTTTGCTTTCTCTATTTCCCCCAATATTCCTTCTATTTCTCTTTTTACTTCCCTGTTATTTCCTCTCTCTCCTACATGTTATCTCCTTTCTTTTCATTCAGGACTATGAGAGTAAATTGCAGGCCTTGCAGAAGCAAGTTGAGACCCGATCCTTAACTGCAGAAACAACTGAAGAGGAAGAAGAGGAGGAAGAAGGTGAAATCTAGCAAATGACACTTTCCTGTGTATATCTTTTGGATCTGTACTATCAAATTAGTCCATCATCTGTGATCAAAGCTGGATTCCTCATAGTTGGCCCTACCGTTTATCTGCATTTTACTGAGCCAATTTGAAGATGATTTAAAAGATGCTCAATGCTGAGAATCCAGGCTGTATCCTATGAGGTGGGGGTGGGACTGATAGTGTTTCTTAGAACGTCACAAGGTTTCTGAGCACAGTCTTCATATAAATCTCTTGGGAAGTTTACATGGACTGTCTCATATTACTGTACATATGAAGTTCACATATCTGTTGCAAATAAATGTAGAGCTTAATCTTTGTTAAGATAGTCTATTCACTTTGCTAGTGTATATCAGAGATTTCCCAATGAGAACTTTGGAATGTATCAGTGTACTTTAAAGCCATTTCTGGTAGATTTTGAATCACATTGCTTAGTCATCCTTGCCTTTCTTACATTTTACAGCATTTCCTAGCTGAATTAGGGCTTTTAATGTTAGTTATTGCCTTATAATACCATATGAACATTCATCACATTTCATTTCTCCACCCAACCTTGTGGTAATCTCAAGACTTCAAATTAACTTTGAAGGAACTCTTAATTTATGTACTAAATTCTTTATTTTTAAAAATCTAGGTAAAATATGACCTCCCCTCCTCCCATACTAGAAAGTTAAAAAAAAGAAATATACAAAATTGTCCAATATACCAGAAGCCAGGGGTATTTTTTTATTATAGCCACACATTAGAATTATATCTTTTTAAAAAAGAGAGAGAAATTTGTTTCTTTGATGTACTGTTTTAAATAAACAGGATGATTTTTTTTAAGTTTTCTAAAATGTATATACTATTTTCATAGTATCAACAGAATTTAGTAGCCTTACTAAAAAGAAGAAAAATAAAAGCAGCCGAATGGAGAGAAATTGGAAAGTATCTTAACTTGATAAAAGAAATAAGGTAGAGGAGGCATGTAATTTCCATAAAATTCACCATTAAATATACTTCATTTGCTCTTTCAGTTCCTTGGACACAGCATGAATTTGAGTTGGCCCAATGGGCTTTCCGAAAATGGAAGTCTCACCAGTTTACTTCTTTAAGGGACTTACTCTGGGGCAATGCTGTGTACCTGAAGGAAGCCAATGCCATCAGTGTGGAATTGAAGAAGAAGGTAAGGAGGGGGGGAGAACATGGGCAATCTTGAGGCAAAGCTGAGCCCGCTCTGGGTTCATCTGGACTCTAACCTTAAACTAACCTTGCCCTTGGGGAACCTCATCTTCTTTATGCTATGAAACAGCTTTATTTATGCCTTTATTTAATATATGTGCCTGGAACATAGTAGATACTAATTTAACTTTTATTAAATAACATTTTTTAAAAAGTTTTCTAGCTTATTTTACAAATGAGGAGACTGTATTCCTGATAGGAGCTGGAGAAACATATGAGTAGAAAAATGCTTCTCTTGGGTTTCTGAAAAACCTCATTTTTGGTTTTCTACCATTAAGTTTATACCCCTGAGTCCTGTGTGCTGCATTGCCACTAATTTGCTCATCCTCTAAGGTCTGAGAGGCACTGTTGTGTAGCAGGCAAGTGTATGTGCTCTGTACCCAGACAGTCCAGGTTTCTGTCCTAGCTCCATGAGTTGTGTTGACCCTAATAGCCCCATGCCTCTATTCCCTCATCTACAAAGTAGGGTTGGCAATAGTACTTGCTACCCAGGGATTTTATAAGGAATGAAAGCACGAATACATACAGCACTTAAAATAGTGTCTAGACATGGTAAATGGCAATAACTATTATCTATTTTCATAATTATTACCAAAACTTGACATCAAACCTTAGATTCATCCTTCTGTGTGCCCCACTGCTTAACAGTCTCTTGACTGCTAAGATTACTGTGGGAGACCGTATTGTGTAGTAGGTAAGAGCACAGACTGCCTGACTTTGGGAAAATTCAGTATCTTTTTCTAAGGCTATATTCTAGTTTTGTAAATTGGCAATAAGATATCTTCTTCATTCATAATCTCTAGCCATTCTCATTTTATAATTATTTATTAACCACTCCCCTCCTCAAATAGACCAAATAAAGGCAGGAACTCTGTTGTTTTTTCCCTTACTGTGGTGCCTAGCATTTAATTAATATTTGGTGAAAATATATGGTAGCAGTGAGAAATAAATGGTATGATGCATGCAAAGTGCTTACCATATGGTAGTAGTTGTAATCCCCGAATTTAAAATGGAAAACCTTGATGTGTTTCCATCCTCTCTCAGTGAGGGATTAGAGATACATTCTTGGGTCCACCTTTTGGTTTCTTGTATAAGTTCTACAGAAGTCTTCATTCAGTCAACCAAAATATATTTATTGAGATTTTAGTGTGTTCAAAAACACTTTCCCAGGCTAGGTAAACAAAGTCTGTAAATAGCTGAGTTTGAAATTAGGATTAGTCCCTATGATTAATATACAGGTGGCCATTTTTTTCAGTTTATCACAAGCTATTTGTTGAGTACATAGTAGTACATGTTTGACCTCTTTCCCAATGGGCATTATCATATCAGCTCATCTCTGAAGCTCACTTGCTGAAAACCATCTGTCTATGGTTTATTTTTTCCATTCAGGTGCAGTTTCAGTTTGTCTTACTGACTGATACACTGTACTCCCCTTTACCTCCTGAATTACTTCCCACTGAGATGGAAAAAACTCATGAGGACAGGCCTTTCCCTCGCACAGTGGTGGCAGTAGAAGTCCAGGATTTGAAGAATGGAGCAACACATTATTGGTCTTTGGAGAAACTCAAGTATGAAAACATTCATAAAAGCCAGTTGTTTATTAAGGAAGTAATAATGAATTGCTTAAGTGGGCACTCTGAAACTCTCCTCTCTCCGAGGATGGTGTTGCTTTTTTTTTCTGTGGTTTCTGTAAATGCTGTTGCTTGCCAGTGATAATTATCATCCATTTTTTTTTAAGTGAATGAATCCCACTCCTCAAACACCTTTAGCAATTACAGCTATTTAAATTTGCCCTCTAAGGGCTGGCGGTTAGCTCACTTGGGAGAGCATGGTACTGATAGCACCAAGGTCAAGGGTTCGGATCCCCATACTGGCCGGCCACTAAGGAAAAAAAAAAGATAAATTTACCCTCCTTTACCCTCCATAGACCTGCTTTTAAATTTTACATGTTCCTTTACCATGATATTTATTTCTGTCTTGGATTTAGAAATTATTCATCTTTTCTGTCCTGAACTGCACAATGATCAGTAATAAACGGGGAAGTCACCGTTTAATCTAGCTTCCTCTGCATTTAGTATGCTGAGATATGTTCTGCTGTCTCAGTATATTTAAGATGTCATACATCATTGAACTACATTCTCCTGTGACTGTTGACTCAGTAGAGGTTACGTGGCCATTCTTGACTTTTGGTGGCTTGTTCCTAGAATGAAACACTTTGAATACTGAATGTTTTAGTTTCTGTACTTTTGGCCTTCATTTTTTTTTAATAACATTAAGTGGTGGGAGCATCTTCTTTTTTATAAAAATTTTAGCATGGAAGATGCTTCCAAAGCAAAATTTTAATACAATATCATGATGTTTACCCAGTGCACTTTCTGTGTCCTAAATAGGCAGAGGCTGGATTTGATGCGAGAGATGTATGACAGGGCAGGAGAGATGGCCTCCAGTGCCACAGATGAGAATGAGTCCACTGTGACTGGCAGTGATCCATTCTATGATCGGTTCCACTGGTTCAAACTTGTGGGAAGGTAGGTGATGATTTTGTTGACGTCTTCTTTTAAAATAATGAATTGTTTTATTATAATTGTTTGAAACCTCAGCAGATATTACAGAAAGTTAAAAGAAAAAAAGGAATATAAAAAAGCTCCATTTATCCACTCATACACAACCACTGTGTCATTTGGTATATATCCCTTCAGTTTTATTCAACATGCATATTAGTTTTGAATCTCAAAATTTCAACCAATGTACAGTATTTGACAGTCTTCCCTGGCTCTCAGCCTATTCACAAAATGCTTTGCAGTTAAGATAGATTTTTTAAAAAAGAAAACCCTTGTCTGTATCATACTTAGCTTAAAATCGTAGTATGACTTATCAGATTGCAATCTCTCCATGACCTGATTTGTCCTCACTTTTTTTTTTTTTTTTAAGTAATTCATCCCACATTAGTCACAGCCAAGGGTAAGTTAATTGCACACCTTGGTAGTCCCCTTAAGCTTCTTTTATGTATTTATTATTTTCAACATTTAATGAAAACATATAGTGCCTCTGTGAGCCCATATTGAATCAAGTTCTTAGAGGTCTGGAATTTTAAAAGCAGGAAAATTTAAGTTTAACTTAAGCTTAGTGATTTTGGAATATGTATTGTTTTTCAATTGCAAAAACCCTGTGATGGTTTTTAAAGGAACTGGGTAAAAAAAGAGTTGCTAAAGTCATAGTATTTTGTAGAAATGTAAATCTTTTCCACTCCACTCTGATTGTAGTTTTTTTTAAAGAGATGAATTGACCAAACACATCTTACCCAAGCAAAGCACTTGCTACTTTGGCATATATCATTTCATCCATTTCATTTTCTGCTCTGAGATGATGTGAGAATTTGAATAAAAATTTAAAGCCTTATTATTTTACCTTTAGTGTTGAGTGGCTCCTTTGAGTCCTGAATGCTGATCTCTTGTGCAAACTGGAGAATATAAACATTTTTATAGCACAATATTTACTTGGGATGGTCTACTCATGTATATCCTTTGCTTTTCTTATTCTAAGGATCAGTCCTTGCATAACTTTTTCAACCTGCCCTTGCTCCCTTTCACCTGGTCCAAGTGATTTATGCTTATTTTATCCTTTTGCTTTTTTGTTTGCTTTTATTGTGTTGATTCCCCAGTGGATTCTGTCCTGTTGGCACCTATAGCTTCCTGTTTAACCAACTATTCCTCTCTCCTTGGCTGTGTTAATTGGCGTCTTACCTGGTGTCTAGCTCCCCCATTTTCCACGGCTGTGTGAATGAGCGCCTTGCCGACCGCACACCCTCCCCCACTTTTTCCACCGCCGATTCCGACATCACTGAGCTGGCTGACGAGCAGCAAGATGAGATGGAGGATTTTGATGATGAGGCATTCGTGGATGACACCGGCTCTGACGCAGGGACGGAGGAGGGATCAGATCTCTTCAGTGACGGGCATGACCCGTTTTACGACCGATCCCCTTGGTTCATTTTAGTGGGAAGGTTGGTGAGGTTATTTTGAGAAAGGCAAAAAGGGACCAGCTCTTGTTCTAAAGGCCTCTTGTGCAGTTTTGGGTAATCTTGCTTTAGCAAATTCAATTTATTAATGCTCAGTCCCAAGTTCTCCAATGCTTCAAACTCTTTATAAATGCTAATCTGGCTAGAGAGAGATCTCAAGCATTGTTTGTGAAGCACTCAGTCTACTCAGTACAACATACAGCAATATATGAGGACTCTACATGGAGGACCCCTTGTCTTAAATTGCCCAATAATTTTGGAAGGAATTTTTGAAGAAGGAAACTCCAAAGGAGAAAGTAATTAAAGCTACGTCAAATGTTATAGCTTCAGTGAATGGTATTCTGGTCTAGGTGTTTCCTTTTTAAAGGAATATGATTGAGGAAGCATATGGGAATAACATGAGAAAGAGCAGAGCAAGTCCAAAGTTAGGCTAGAAAATTTGTGGTGCTGTAGGAATCAGAGGACAAAGTGGACTCAGGAGAAGTGTTAGCTTTATTTTTGCTTAGTCTACCGAGTCCTGAAAAGAATCAGGAAAGTCAAGTTTCCCCTTTGTCTAAAATGGACGTCTTTCTTTGGCCAATTTCACTGAGCCTATCTATAGGTCTTTGGCTTCTGCTAAAATTTTACCTATAGCTTTATAAGGATGAATCTCAGAGAATTGTCTGACACCATCCACAGTGAATATTTGTTCAGTGCTACATGTAACTGCTTTGTATTGAGTTTAGTTCACCAAACTGAGACATTGTTTCTGGCTCTCAGTTTGAGCATCCGTCAGTGATGCAGAACTCTCCATGCACGTGTTCCTAATACTGGTGTCTTTGTATGCATCCAGTCTTCACATTGAAGTAATTTTAATTGCAAGCTCAACAGTACAGCACTCATTGGGTTAACCAAAAAGTATGTCCAAGTTTTAAAGTATTAAATTTAACTTTAATGGTGCATTAGAACCACACATTGTTGAACCCTTTAAAAATAAGGGAATTATGTCAGTGTTAAATGCACAAGCACCATTAGCTAAAATTAAAGTGCAGCAAGTTTCCTGACCCACTAGAGACATAGAATCTCAAAGTTAGCGCATAGTATGGTATTGGTCACCTGATGAGAACTTCTTAATTAATGTATGAGCATACTTCAAAAAGCTCATGGAAAAATAGAATTAAAATATGGGGCTGGTCAGTTAGCTCAGTTGGTTAGAGCATGGTGCTGATAACACCAAGGTCCATGGTTTTATCCCTGTACTGGCCAGCCACACACAAAAAAGATAATACAAATCTTTACATGAACTTTTTGAAGTACCCTCATAGATGATGATCACTTGTTATGGAAAAGTCTAAAGAAAAGCTTTTTTGATAGAAATGAAAACCTCTATTACAACTGTTGGCCATAATATGAGACAGTATCTGGGGTTTACAAGGACAAAGGGGCATTTAAAATTCCATTAATAAACATAAAGGGATTATATAGCCATGAATATTGTTTTCTACTGGTGTATCGCTGGGAATAGATGCTTAGAATTTCAGAGAAGCTGATTTATATTAAAATTGAGGAAGGTATGTAGAAATAACAGGACAATAATGCTTTACTTTATGGTTGTCTGTGTCCTTCAGCATATTTCTGTCCTATTGTAGGAGGGTTGGAAGTTAGAACCAATTTTCTGGCCATAAACTTGGTTCTAGTGCCAGCTCTGCAGCTTTGCAAGCTGTTCGCTTGTGTTCTGCACCATTGCACAGCGAGGAGGAGGCAGCTTCCTCTTACATACTATGGTGGGGAGAACCCTGACCGAATTGTTAGGAGGAGCCTTGGGTCCTGGACCATCTCTGTTACTAACTTAGGACAAGCAACTTAAACAGAGGCCTATTGGGTTCTCAAGTGTAAAATGAAGAGTTAGGTAGAAAAAAAAGAGCCTTAAAGATCTTTTTTATCTTCTGTCATTCACACGAGCAAAATGAATATCCTGGTTGAGACTTTTGCTCAGAAGAATTTGCATTTTGAGTCAGTGGTTTGTAAAACTCAAGTCAGAGTCCCACTTAATGTGGAAATTAACTGGCTTAAGATACATGTATTATTTTCTGTCTAGTTTTATTCCTTTTAATCATATCAGGATATCAGGTTTAAGTGTAAGTATAAAGCAATCAACTCTACTTTGATTTGCACATAAAATATTTATGGAGCTATGGCTCAGGAATTGACCTTTCCATTTGTTTGGATTCCAAGGTTCTAGAACTAACTTTGCCTTGCAAGAAAAAGACTGAGGTAGGAGGTGAAATCATTGCAATCAGTAAAATGAAAGATAGCTCTCCATTTTTGCCCTCTACTACATTTCTCGTCTGCAAACAAAATTTATAATAAGGCAACATCATCCAGTCATGTAGTAATCATTGTATGTGTAATAGGAGTAACTTCTTTGCTGTTTTTGTGATTCACAGGATTGGATTTCTCCTATTGGTGCATAATTGTAAATATAATTCACTTGTAAAAATTTCTTGTGAAATTCCATTTGTTGGCTTGTTTCTTGGCCTTGGGTGCCTCTGGTGAATCTTTATATGAAAATTAAAAGAGCTTGTCCCTTTAGCTATTCTCTTATGGCATGCTGGGATATTATGAACCATCCATCATAATTTGGGAGGAAATGTAAAATATTTTAGCTAGGCTTCTGGGTTGAAAGGGGGCAAAAGATGGTTATTCTGTGACTTCTCTAAGTACCTGTACTGACATTCTTTCTTTAAGTATCACCATAATTATGCTGATTTTTCCCCATGTTTATGTTAGCAAATTTGTTTCTCTATTTGACGTGACTTCACAGAAATTTATGCTAATACTAATATATCCTATACATCTTCCCCTCTCTCATCCCTGTTCTCCTTCAGTCTGCTAGGTCAAAGTATAAGAACTCTCAAAAATGCAGAATAATTATGAAAATTCCCGTTTAAAAAGCTTCAGAGGAGAACTTCCATACAGCATTGATTTTGGACTACGAGCTGTGTTCTGATAACATAAAAAGATGCTGTCTAGTGAGCATGCAGTTGTGTAGTCACAGAGCTGATGCCTCTGCTCCTGCCATAGAATTGCAGAATTTTCTTTTCTAAAAAGGGAACTCTACAATAATATCTTCAGTTCTTCTGTATTTGGAATAACCATTGCCATAGGCAGAAAGGAAATTCTCATCTTTAATGTGTGCTCAAACAGTACTTTATTGTAATGTGTGCATGAATATGATAAGCTTTCTTTAAAAACAGTGGCTCCTGCTTTTGAGTAGCTGTTTTTAAGATAAAAATTAAGTATAGTTAGGAATCTAAACATGTTCTATATAGTTAATGTCCATCATGAGTATGGCTTTGAAAAGTCAACCTAATATAAAGTTGAATGGCTTTGCTTTTCTGCCTTTGGTGTAACCCATTTTTCTGGAAAATCTTCCACTTTTACTTAGGACAGATCATTTTCCCGTTCCCTTGTGTACATAGGTGTCCACTCATCAAGTTATTTATTGAGTGTATTAACTGCATGCCAAGCCCTCTGCAGACAGTGGTGAACAAAACCAGACATGGTTCCTGCTCTCATAGACTTATAGTCTAGTGGGTGACACAGACATAAATTAAATAATCACACAAATAAATGTAGATTATAGCAATGATGAAAGAACTGTTGCTGAGATCATATAATGTTGGGGGGACCTGTCATGAGAGAGTGGTGTTTGAAATAAGACCTAAAGATGCAAATTCAGAGGCATGAGATGGGCAGTGAGTGCAGAGAGGACTTGAGGCAGGGGACCTGTGTGATGGCTCTCTAACGGCCCAACCATTGAAAGTGGGCACGTGTGGCTGGAATGCTGTTAAGAGAGGAGAGTGGTCTGTATGGTGCTGACTTCGGAAGTGAAATTATCCGTATGGTAACTTATGCCAAACTCTTAGTCTTTTAAACTCTGTCACAATAATTGGTATATGATGGTCCTGTTTGTAATCCTTTTTAGAAGAACTTTTCATTTTTACATTTTTGTGCAACAAAGCTTTAACCCTCCCTTTCTTAGCATTTGCCCCCTGTATCGCTTTGGAGCAGACTGAAAGGGAAGTAGACATTTGATTTAACGTTCACTTGCCATTATTTTTGTTATAATTTTTATTCATGTTTCATTTATATCCTTAAAGTTTTATTAACATTCGTTTTCTGTGATGTGTTTTGTCTATTTTCAGAATTGTTTTCATTGAAATCCCAAGTACCCACTACTCCATCTTCCTTCTCTTTTTGTTTTAAGGTAGATTTCAGAGCAGGAAAAGAGCAGACAGGCATGTGTGTCGCGTTTAGTTATGTTTGATGTCTTGATGCAAGCGTTTACTCTTTGTCTTTTGTTTTATGTTCAAAGATCAGCATATATTATGTGGGAAGACAGGAGTAACAGTAGGAACTAGATTCTATTTCCCATTCCAATAGGAATGAATACCCTTAAGCTTTGTGATCACCAGTTTTTATTGCTGTTAAAAAAAACAATGGCTACAAAATAATGAATGAGGAAAAAAAAAGAGTTCAAATATAATAGGACTTTGCTAGTTTGTTTGAGATATAAAGTGTTAGATCTGTAACTTTTTATATGCATTTTTTAATTAGGTTTTGGACTCTAGAAGTAAAAGCAAACTTATTAAGGATCAGCTGTCTTCTTCTCCCTTAGCATTTATCCCAGTGCCTATTCAGAGTCTCCTATAAACTCGCTACTCAGAATATTCTGGCTGCACAGCCTCTCTACTCATATGTGTCTGCTTTCCTCACCTTGTCAGTCACCCTGCCTGAAGATGTGAAATCTGTTTTCTTGCCTTTTTTATCTCCTTATTTCTGTTTTATCTGCTGGGAAAAACAAAACCTTTTTATAATTCCTTAAGTTATAAATGGTTAAGCTCTTTAATGGGCTCATCCCCCTTCCCCCCCAGCAGTATTCATAGAGCAGTATCTTGAAAATCTACTTCAAATTGTTACTCTTCTACTTACAGTAGTAATTTTTATAGAGATTACTTTGGTGTAAGTTGATCTTTATCAACTGCTTTGTTAGGTATTTGCCTTTGTTCATATATTATCTTTGCTGAAAAAGCAACTGGAGGCAATCAGGGTACAGAGGTAATCTTAAGACAAGGCCAGGAAGCCAGCTCGCAGGTTCATGAAGATATTCTCAGTGAATCTTAAAGCCACTTCTCTCTCTGTGGGATGCTCTGATGTTTGTCTCCTGGTTTTTGTCTAGGGCATTTGTTTACCTGAGCAACCTGCTATATCCTGTGCCCCTGATTCACAGAGTGGCCATTGTCAGTGAGAAGGGTGAAGTGCGGGGATTTTTGCGTGTGGCCGTACAGGCCATTGCAGGTAGGTGACCCTCTTCTGGACTAGAGACAGAGCAGGCCAGTTCTGTGGGGGCCATGCTTCAATTACATGTGTAAACTGATGAGTTTGTCTTTCTTGGAGAAAACCTTTATTGCTTCCTTTCTAGCTGTTGTTCCCAAGAATCATAAATAGATTTTGTTTAGTCTGGGATACTACTGTTGTGAATAATGGAGTAAAGAGATTTCCTTTAACATGAAGAATAACTCTTGGATTAACTTTATAAAATTCATTGGCATTTTACATAATGTATCTTAACTGCTTCAGAATTAACAAAGGATTTTTGGGACTTTTTCTTGCCTAATTTTCTCTCAGGACATTCTCTCTCTAATGGACATTTCTTTGGCCACTATTATGTAATGCATGGATCAAGATTTTTATATTTTCCTCTTTTCCATGATCCAACCTACATTCTGAGGAAAGAATGTGGCCATTTCCTGTAATTTTTCTTTCTTAACTTCCAAACACTGCGCTGTTTAGTTACCTTTCAGCCTTATCCCCATGGAAACCTGTGACACAATCACCAGCTTTGAGTTTATGGAAGTCTCCTCCACAAGTACAGTATAATATTTTCAAATTTTGTTGTATATTATTGAATATAATCTTGCCAAGATAGAGGCTGACAGTATTTCTAGGTATGGCATTTGAACCAGTCTCAAGAAGATAGCCAATTCTTCATTAACTAGTCTCATTTGAGCTAAAGAGGTTGGTAAATCTACATAGGTAGAGTTGGAAGCAGCCATGTAATTTTACTACTTCGGTGTCATTCTTTCTTTCTTATACAAAGGGACTTTCCTATTTATTTTATAATCCAGTAAGAGTCATTCCCCCCACTCCCCATATAAGGTTTCATTCAATCCTTGCTAATTTTTTTTCTACTTAGCGGATGAAGAAGCTCCTGATTATGGCTCTGGAATTCGACAGTCAGGAACGGCTAAAATATCTTTTGATAATGAGTACTTTAATCAGGTGAGAAACCTTCAGGAGGAAGGAAAACCTTGTGGAATGAGAAGGAAGTAGATGGGTTTATAAGGAAATGTTCAGCATTGAAGACCAATTCCCCTAACCAAAACTAAAATCTATAGGATGCAGGTAACTACAGAGTTGTTCAATAGAATGTGGGTCATGTCTATCATTTGCAGAGGTAAAGACCCAATATTTATATTTTATTGTATTGCTTTTTCTCAGACATCTCTTAATCCACATGATTTTCTAGTCACTATTATTTGTTGAGCAAATAAACAGAAGTAAGGAAGCTGGGGGGAAAATACATTTTTATACTACTTTATCACATACCTACCCCTGCCTTGTTTTCAGAGCGACTTTTCTTCAGTTGCAATGACTCGTTCTGGTCTGTCCTTGGAAGAGCTGAGGATTGTGGAAGGACAGGGTCAGAGTTCTGAGGTCATCACTCCTCCAGAAGAAATCAATCGAATGAATGACTTGGGTATGTAGACAGAATTTACTATGATCAAGGACAAAATTTTTAAAGAGGGGAAAATATTGATCATTGTCATGGGGCATAGTCACTTTCCTGTACTAGGAATGGAAAGAATGCCCAACTTCCTCCTCTTTGCATTATTTGAATCATATATGTGTTTGTTTGACTCTCTTTAGATTTGAAGTCAAGCACTTTGCTGGATGGTAAGATGGTAATGGAAGGGTTTTCTGAAGAGATTGGCAACCACCTGAAACTGGGCAGTGCCTTCACTTTCCGAGTAACAGTGTTGCAAGCCAGTGGAATCCTCCCAGAGTATGCAGATATCTTCTGTCAGTTCAAGTAAGCTACCTCTTTGCCCTGCCTACTTAACTAGATGTTAACTGAGATAACATCCTTTGTGCACTGCAGAGTACTTTACTTATGTGAGATGTAAACACTCTTGAGAGATCAAAGATTACCAGTCTCTGAAGGAAAACACTTTCTTCACTCTAGACAGGAGTAAGAACCAGAAACCTGCATTGGAATGAACAGGGATCCTTGTGGGGAGGAGTGTGCCACACATCCTGCTAGAGGGTTCTCTTGTATACTACTGTCCCACTCTGCCAGGAATATAGTCTGATCCAGATAAGCCTGTGTACCAGTCTTTTTAGTGCTCTTTATGCTGAAGTGTCTTATTAATAAACAAGTCTGAAAGCAACAAATTATCTAACCACCAATTATGCCTATTTAATACTTGGGAAAAGGCAAATTTTAATAACGTAGATAAGAGTGATGTTCTGCATCAACTGAAAAAAGCTCTAGTATGTAGAAAAGGTGTGACAGGTCTCATTTCTCATCCACTTAGAAGCTTTTTATGTCCTGTGACCCTCTTGAACCCTATCATCTAGGTGCTTTCTTCCCAAGACTTCCCTAGGAAAACACTTTTTTACGGCTCTTAAGTTTTAGTACCTCCAAACATCAATATACCTTTTCAAACTTGGAAAGGGCTGCAGTACAAGAGAATGAAGTTTGACCTGCTTCGCACCTACAGCCCACAGTTTGCCACTGGTGCTACCAAAAGGCTGCTTTAAAGTTCTGCCATCCCTCTCACCTCAGTGTGGGCCTGAGCCTTCCTGGGGGTGGGTCCTAATGCAGTTTATAAAGCATTCCTTTTATATAGGTTTTAGCCAAGTCCTGAATTAAATGTGATTACTACATAGTAAGCCACTAATAATATCATTTACTATAATGCAAAATTGTTGGAATATTACCCATCTAGTATTGATTTTGCCTATTTGGTGTGTTTTTGCTATTAGCCTTTAATTTACAGTAGGATGGAATTGGCTAGATGAATCAGTTTTTTGGAACTTTTACTATTATTCTAATCAGGTAACTGGAAAAGCCCTATTTGGTTAACTGATGTCTGAAGTGACAATAATATGTTGATCTTTGTCCTAAAATCTCCTAAGAAGAGTGCAGCATCTCCACCTGGTATTAGCTGTGGAGGAAAGGGGCATGTTGACTCATGTTGGGAGAAGACTCAGAGTCTTCCTCGGTTTTTATAAACACTCATCTGGCCTGTGTAGGGAAGATATAGTTATTAGAATGGTGTGAATGAGTTTACGTGTCACCAATGGAACCCCAGGATATTTGTACCTCCTACAGTGGCAGAGCATTAGAGGAGTGTAGATCAGGTCAACTAATACTCATGGGGGGACCTGTGGCAGGTACAGTGAGTCAGTGTGTGGTCAGGAGAAGGAAAAAAATGGGAAAAAAAAGAGAAGGAGATGGAAAAAGAAATGAGAAGAAAGAAAATAGAAAAGGATACTCGTGGTGCAGGATGCTATAGTGCCAGCAATGCATCAGTGATGTATGGAGCACTTGGCAAAAGTACACTACTATTTCCAGACTCAGTGAACTTGTTTGGAAGACAAGGAGTTCATACTGCTATTCTCTCCCTTCTATTCTCTAAGTATTTTCTTTTTTTCTGGTGGTGGTAGGGCTATCCTTCTGGATAGATATTAATGTCTGGCAATAAATGTTTGCGTTGGATATTCTTTAACTCTCCACTTATTTTTATTTCAGACTAATAACAGGGAGGCAGAGAGCACAATAAAATCTCACTGTCTGTGAGAGTAAATAAACATAGCCAATTGATTCAACAAATATTTCTGGAGTATCTTCTATGTGTTGAGCCTTATGTGTGTCTGATGGGGAGACAGCATTACAAACAGTGAAATCATTGCTGTTGAGGAAAAATAGGTCCCTAGTACTGTGGGAACACAAAACAGTCAGGGTAAGTCAGGGAAGACTTCCTGGAAGAGGTCACATTTGAATCCACTCTTAGCTGGATATTAGAGACTCCTAGGCAAGTATACCACCCACAGGCTTTAGTTCTACCTCATAGAAGCTTGAGTCTTCTTCAGAGGAATAGGAATTCATTGAATTCACTTCTTCACTCTCTCTAAGGCATTCTTTCATATCACCCACATAGTGAAGTGATCAGGGTCAGTGAATTTTTCAGTCATTTTTGGAAATAAAATCTAAAATGCTATCTGTGTGATATGGACACTTTTCTGTCAAGGAAATGTAAATAACTTAGCTCTGTTAAAAGAATCTGCTTAGGTAGGAGGCTTCCATAGGATCCAAGTTGGGCTCTTAAAACAGAGATCATTATGAAACTGTTTGATGCTACATTCATGTATTTTATTTTTTTATTAAGCTTTTTGCATCGCCATGATGAAGCATTCTCCACTGAACCCCTCAAAAACAATGGCAGAGGAAGTCCCCTGGGCTTTTATCATGTGCAGAATGTAAGTGGCATGAACATTTTTGCCAAACATCAGGTTTGTGGTACCTGGCTTTCTTAGCTGAGGAAGGATGATAATGTGACAATGTGAGGCGGAGCTGCTTGCTGTACTAAAGGGAGATTCGAGGGAAGAATAAACAATAGAGGGAGTGGCCAGAGTGGTGAGGTAATCCTCATAGCAGGGAGCCTTCTTGGCGGAATTACAATGGGCCCAGTGAGTGGTGTGCCAGTAAACTCTTACAGCTATTTGAATGTAGTGAGTTGTTTTAGTGTTTCTGTCCTAGAAAAATAAGCTTGTTTAATATGAATTTTGTTAATGCATTGTCCTTTAAACCCTAAGATACTTATATTGTTTGGTTGCAAGTAATATAGAAAATATTAAATACCTTCTGTAGCTAAATTAAGATTCAGAGTCTGTTTCCTTGCAGCTATTACTATAATTAACCCATTAATGACCCTTACAACTGTCTTCATACATGAAGTGAGAAAACAGACCTTCCATCTCTTATAGGAAATTTCACTCAAACTCTATTCAGAAGTCATCATCCTCATCACAATTGCAAACCTTTGTTGAGAGTTTATTTTGTGTCTGTCACTGTTCTGAATGTTTTCACGTGTCATTTAATCCTAACCTTTACACCAGCGACTATAATAATCCCTATGGTACAGCTGAGATAACTGAGGCACAGAGCAGTTAAAGTCACTCACCAAGGTTACAAAGCTAGGAAGAGGCAGGGATGGGATTTGAACCAAGAGAAATGTGGCTTTAGTGTCCAGGATCTTCACTACTACATGAAACTGCCTCTCATTCTCTTCCTAACCATGTAAAGTAAAGGAGGAAAGGACAACTGCAAAGATGGAACAAGCAAACACAAAATACACTTTTCTTTTTCATGTTTGTATAAATATGAGCATGCATATATCAGGTAAAATATTGGTTGGTGCTATGTATAAAGACTGTGTCTGACATTTCTGGGGAATGCAGATGAATCACAGATATCCCCAAGATGCTTAGAATTATGTTAGCAGAAATAAAATGCATACGTAACATTAGTACAAGATAGAGAGACATGAGAAAAATATTCATAAAATGTAGTGGGAGTGAAGAAAGGGAAAGTTATTTCCATTAATGGAAGGATATTTTAAGTTACAGTTTTATTGGAGAAGGGTTGGTGGAGAAAGAAAGTGGGGGAGTTTTCTGAGGGTTGTAGTATAAGTAAGAAAAGGTATGTCAAATTTGGCATTGTGCCTGGCACAGAGTCCACAGTCAATACATGTTTTTCTTATTGTTACTATTTGAGCTGGGCCTTGAAGTACAAGAGTGACTTAGATGCATGGAGATATGGAAAGGCCTTCCAGGTAGCAGGATTTCAGCTTGGGCTGGTCCTGGCATAGGAGAAGAGAGAGCAAGTGAAAGGAGCAGCAGGTGAATTTGACTAAGTGGAAACTAAAGTGTGTGAAGGGCAGAAGGGGGCCAAGGTCAGTTGGAGAAAATTGTGGAGAGTCTTGAGTGCCTAAAGCTTAGTAAAATTACTTTAGAATGAAAACCAGAGGGCAGCCGCTATCTTTTTGTGCAGGAGCCCTACATAGTAAAATACCCAGAACATACTGGATACTCAACAGTACCAAAGTTCCGATTGACGCACAAATGTGTGTTTTCTTATAATAAATCTTTCCCTAATCTTGCTTGGCTTTATTCCTTATTAGATTGCAGTGGAAGTCACAGAATCATTTGTGGAATATATCAAAACCAAGCCTATTGTATTTGAAGTCTTTGGGCATTATCAGCAGCACCCACTTCATCTGCAAGGACAGGACCTTAACAGGTTTGGACCAGATGAGCAAAGATTTTTGTTGTTGTTATTGTTTTGTTTTTTAGTTCCTCAATTCCTGGAAAGGAAGAAATCTTTTGAAGGATTAAGATAACTAAATAACAGTTTTATGTATAACCCCATGTTTCCTCTTTAGAAATGTCACCACCTTTTTCTAGGCATCTAATTACTAATTTTATATAGAACAAATTGAATTTTGTCCAGATGACCTTGAATACCCTCTTTTTGTAGGAAGAGACTTGGAATAGGGCAGAAAATTGAGGTAGTAGGGATATAACATGAAAGTTGTGTAGTGTCCCACAACTCAATGCAGCAGAAGCTCTAAGTGGTGTCATCACAATTGATGAGAGAGCCACAATGGGGACTTTTTGATGATGGCAGAGTGTCAATATCAACAGAAGAATTTTCTTATTTCATTTATTAGCTAAGATTTACAGGGGGACTTTTATTAAAATGTTTTAGCCTGTTTCACTATGTGGGATTATGTTTACTATCTGGTGTTATGCCAGAGTTGAAAATGCGAAAGACCTGTTTCCTTAAAGGGAATTTAAACATGCCATTAATATCAACATCTGACTCTTTTTAGTCTTGAAGTTATTTTCTTTTCCTTTGCAGTCCACCTCAACCATCTCGACGATTCTTCCCTCCACCCATGCCACTCTCCAAGCCAGGTGAGCACTAGCTACATTCTTTGGATGATGTTCTCTGCGTGAATACATCTCTTATTCTGAATGACTCTTCAGATAAAAACCATATTCGAATTCTTGTTCCTCTTGTATGTGTCTTTATGTGTTTCTGCTCCTTTGTGTGTATCCAGCAGAAACTAGAATTCTTGGTTCCAGCTTTAAAATAGGAAGTAAGAAACAATAGGGCTCCATCTGTGCCAATTCTCTGGTTTTATTTGCAGATTTTGATTACCTCCCTGTTCCTAAATCTCTATGCTTTATGTGTAACTCTTCATAACTGTCAGATGACTAGGCATTTCTTTGCATATTAAAGTTATTCTGCATGCTCACTTGTCTTGTTTTGATTTTTCTTTATTTTCGTCCTTTTTCCTCATTGCCCACTTACCAACCCCCCCCACCCCACCCCCGTGCTCATTCTCCACCCTCTGTACTTCTCATCTCCATCTGCCGTCAGACCACGAGAGAAAGATTGAGCTGATTCGGTTTCTCGTGTCTGGCTATGTGAATGTGCATGTGTTGGACACGGTTTCTGAGCACGCCATTGTGCTCGCATCTTCTGCTGCAGCCACCTTCCAGGATGAGGCTGACCCATTGCCGCCTTTTCCCTTTCTGCCAGTTCCCAGCTGCCAGAGCGAGAGGGTACCCAAACGAGATGGTTAGTAGCTAAATTAGCTCTGCCTTAGATGTAGAATCAGCCTCAGGGGCTTGTCCTCAAGCCTGGCTCTCTGTGTATGAAACACTGACAATTCTGTTTGCTACTTGAGCTGAATGTAGAGTTCGGCACATTGTCAAGATCATATCACATTTCCTTCAGAGAGATTTTATGAAGCACCTTCTCTACTTGTGCCTCTTTCACATCACCCTAGAGGTGAGGGGCTCCTTATATTTGTTCGTTTGGATTCTTTGCAATAATAGTTTTAATTTTGAAGATTTTTACTAGCAGTTGGTTTTGTTTTAATACTTCTGGTTTTGCTTTCTGACCTTCAGATGACTGTCAGAATCAGTAACCCTGTATTTTTCCTGACTCGTATCACCAATTCATGTGAATTTCAGCTGGGGTGAATGCTGCTGGTAGGCTACACATTCAGATAGTGCTATATGATTCATAAAGCCCCTTTATATACATTATGTTAGTGGAATTTCACAATACCTTTTCAAGATAACAGGCTAACTACTGTGATCCACATTTTATCTTTCTGCTAGATTTTTTTTTTGGTGGCTGGCCAGATAGACTCACAGAGGTTAAGCAACTTAACTAAAGTCCCATAGCATACACACAGTTAAGAATATGGAATTTATATCTGAAGAAAATGTGTAACATAAGATCATTTACTGAATCCTGTATTTACAGATTAGACCAGTGGTTCCCAAATTTATGTGCACATTGGAATCACCTGGGGAACTTCAAACCTCATGGAGGAAGGACTGTGTCCCTGTAAAGATTGTGATTAGTTGATCTGGGCATGGCCTGGGCTTTCATCTTTAAGATCCCCAGGTGACTCTTATGTATAAGGAGGTTTGGAAGCCGCTGGGCTGGTCACCACACCAGCTTTGAATGAGCCTCTGTGATGTCAAGGCTCTACCCAGGTATTTTCCAAGCATGGTCTCTCTCACATTATTACAGTGCTCTGCGTGCCACAAAATGTGAGATTCTAGAATAGGAAGATTTTTTAGTGGTTTTGTGAGTACATTTATTCTGCATGAAACCTGTTTTCTCATCTTTGGAGACAGTTTGTTGAGAGGAAAAAAGATACTGACTCTTCATTTTCCTCATTCTCTGAATTTAGAGGTAGTAACAAAGTTGATGTTGAAGTTTCTCTGGGTCATCTGCATTGAAATCTATCCCCTGACTCTTGTTGCCTTTCCCAAGTGTGTTCTTGAAGACTGACATTAGACAAGCTTATACTTTTGCTGAGTAGACTTGAACCAAATTTTGACATTTTCTAAAAACTTTCAAAAGTTCCAGCCACCAAGTTAAACACCATGAGCAAAACCAGCCTTGGCCAGAGCATGAGCAAGTATGACCTTCTGGTTTGGTTTGAGATCAGTGAACTGGAGCCTACGGGAGAGTAAGTCCAACTTTCTAAACTTTTAAATAAGGCAAAGTGTTTCAAAATTAGGAAGGGTAATTTTGAGTCTCTTGCATTTGGGTTCATGAATCATTGTTACTGTCAAATCCCAGTTTTTAATTGAATTTTGGTGGTGTTGGTATTTTTCTTTGAATCCAATGTTTGTCAGAGAACTGACTATCTAGCATAATAATGTGCCTTCTTGTCAGCAACAGCAAGGTAATGGAGACTGGCACTTTGTTATGGGGGAAAACCACCTACATAGTGGGTTTTATCAGTAGCAAAGAAAGGAGCATATTGCACAGAATATGGTCAAGACCTTCTTTACTAATCTCAGTGAGGGGTTTGAGGGGCAGAATGTTTCCCTAGACCAGGGCTTTTCAACCTGGGCACTAGTTTAGGCCAGATAATTCTCTGTCGTGGGGGGCTGTACCATGCAATGTAGGTTATTTTGCAGCATTCCTAGGCTCTATTCACAAGATGCTGGTAGCACTTCCCCTTCAGTTGTGACAAGCAAAATGCTTTTGGAAGAACAAAAATAGAGATTTTCCTGCTGAATAGTGGCAAGGGACTGTATCAGTTAATGGAAAGGGTAGGGGGTAAATCCTAATATTCCTCTGTGTATAATGCTGAGAACCACCATCACAATCATCACTGTGAAACACTTATTAAGTTCCTACTGTGTGTAGGACACAATGTTAAGTATGGCTCTGTTGATCCTTTAGGTAGTTGTCAGTAGTGACATTGCTTTGAGGAATTTGCCTTTCTATAGATCTATAATGTGATTATAATTTGCATTATGAGGGAGAAGTAGTTACAGTAATGGTTTCTACTGAATTAATTGCTTTCTGAATCTTAAAAAAACCATCTAGAATCTGAAATTATCTGTTTCTTACTTCCTGTCAATTGCCATAGCTGTTATACATTATTCATTGAGTATTTTTTATGTAAGGGGCTGGGATGGAACAAATAGATGTTACTGTCCTTTGAGCACTTCAGTCTAGTAAGGATGATGTGGCATAGATATGTGGAAAGGGGTTAGTAAATACAAATGACTGTATGATAAAATGCCAAAACGGTGAGAGAGACATGGGGTCAGAGTTTAGAATAACAAAGACCACTGGGGGCTATAGCAACCAAGAGAGACTTTGCCGATCGAAGTAGCACTTAACTTTTCTTTTGGATTTCTATTTTTATAGGTATATTCCAGCTGTGGTTGACCACACAGCAGGCTTGCCGTGCCAGGGGACGTTTTTGCTTCATCAGGTACTAATGAGGGAGCAAAATAGGCCTATGAGGTAATACCCAAAAGAGGTTAAAATAAGAAACATAACTCTTTTTTCTCCGCATTTCATCTGTTTCAAAGGTGGGAGGTTTGAGGTGAGGGCCATTATCCTGTTGTCTTGTCCTTTTTTTCTTCTTTTGTATGTTTGTTTTTTAATGTTTCTTCCTCAGATCTTCGCTTACATATACCCTTGCTTTTATATATAAGTATATTTTCTAGTAGCTATTTGAAAAGAGTTTATTTCATTCAACTATTAACATTTGTGTGGCTCCCATGTCATTTTATACACTTCATTTCATGATGTTTGGAAGCTCTGTGCTTTCATAGCCAAAAGTTCTTAATTGGGGTTGAGGATGAAGGTTTCAGTGGACAAAAAAATCTGGTCATGAAATGTAGGTCTCCCTTTAGTAAATCAAATGTAGATTCAGTTAGTGCTCAAAAATGCTTATGACAGGTGGGCATAGGGGCTGGGGGTCCTATACTCTGGCACATACAATCTGGGCGTCTGTTCTTAAAACCGTATTAGAACCCAACTATTCCTCAGTCCTTGACCTGTTCCCCTTTATTTAAAATAACAGTGTGGACAGCATTTTCCCTCTCCATACCTCTCCTTCCTTTCCATTCCCACACCATACAATCCAGTAAACAACAAACAAGAGGAAATGATAGATTGCTCCAACTAAATTGCAGCCCTTCTCCATTATCTAGGGCATCCAAAGAAGGATCACAGTGACCATTATCCATGAAAAGGGAAGTGAGCTTCACTGGAAAGATGTTCGTGAACTGGTGGTAGGTGAGTACATTCCATTAGCTGAGGACAGAGCCAGGCTTTTTAGAGAAGTCATTATATCCTGTTTGGAGTACAGAGAATGTGGGGAAGACTGTACTGGAGAACACAGACTGTGGAGAATATATAAAAGCCTTGAGTTTGAAACTACTCTTTTGTTTTCTAGGACATTTTGAGTTAGAGAGGAATATATCTAACATGGAAATGGCTACAAAGCAATGACCAGAGTGGAGAAATTAGGGCATATTGACTAAATAGTATGAGATTTAGAATGCTAGTCTAAGGGAAGGGTTTGGAACTGTTGTTGCCATGGACCTCTTCGGCAGTAGTGAAGCCTCAGAATTATGTTTTAACCATGGAAAGTAAAGTGCTTAGGATTACAGGGGCCGGCCCAGTGGCGCACTGCTACAGTGCGCCGCTTGGGAAGCGCGGCGGCGCTCCCGCCGAGGGTTCGGATCCCACATACAGACCGGCCGCTCGCTGGCTGAGCGAGGTGCGGGAGCAACACCGAGGGTTGTGATCCCGTTGCCGGTCCCGGTCCGGTCCGGGCGCGACACTGAGGGTTGCGATCCATTGCCGGTCACAAAAAAAGACAAAAAAGGGAAAAAAAAAAAAAAAGGATTACAAAGGAAACTAATAATATTGCAATACAGTTGTTAAAATATTAAACAAATCTGTAATGTAAGCTCTTCTTTATTGATTCATTAAATTACATGATTTAGTAGCTGGTCTTATTACCATAATTTCAAAGTGGTGATGAATGAGAAAGATATTTTGCATTAGCGTGATATGAAAACATCTGTGGTTTCTGCTGGGGACAGAGTCAGAGTTACTGCTAATTCTCCTGTGGTTTATTGCCTTCCTTCAAATTGAATGAAATGCTAAATTTCAGAAAAAGTTCATGAAAATAAAGATGTGATTTTCTTTCCCATCCAAGCTCAGTGGACCCCCTGAATTCTATCCACCGACCACTTATGGTTCTTTGAGCCAGATTAAGAACTCCTGGAAGGGAGATTATATTCTACCTTGTCTGGGGCAGTGGTTTTCAAGCTTTTTCAAAATTATTTTTTAGGGCTGAGCCCGTGGCGCACTCGGGAGAGTGCGGCGCTGGGAGCGCAGCAGCTCTCCCGCCGCGGGTTCGGATCCTATATAGGGATGACCAGTGCGCTCATAGCGCTCACTGGCTGAGCGCAGTGCGGCCGGTCTCAAAAAGGACAAAAAAAAAAAAAATTATCTTTTATATGGAACACTAGTATACAAAACAGAAGAGATGCTTTCTGACCAGAAAGTGTGGGGGAGGATATAGAGGCAATGGTTGCTAAGGCTTCTCTGAAGAACCCTACAATTTATTTTATTTAACAGACTCTTATATAGTGTTTATCATGTGTCAGTTGCTTTTCTGAATGTTCTAAAAGTATTAGTTTATTTAATCCTCATCAGGTAAGGGAAGAATTGTTATTCTTTTTTTTTTTTTTTAAAGATGACTGGTAAGGGGATCTTAACCCTTGACTTGGTGTTGTCAGCACCATACTCACCCAGTGAGCAAACCGGCCATCCCTATATGGGATCCGAACCCGTGGCCTTGGTGTTATCAGCACCACACTCTCCCGAGTGAGCCACGGGCTGGCCCAAGAATTGTTATTCTAACTTCATAGATAGGGAAACTGAGGCTCAGAGAGGTTGAGTATTATGCCCAAAGCCTCACAGCTAATAAGAATTGGAACCAAGATTTGAACACAAACAGTCCAGCTTCAGAGATGGTGCTCTTAACATCTGTGCAATTCTGCATCCCCTACTGTTAATTTGAAAACAGAGTTGTAGGATTTTGAACAAGAGAACAGTATAATAAATTCAGTGGCTTAAGAAATTTATATGAGTATAAAATGGATCGGAACAGGGGAAATGTGAGAAGCAGGGAGACCAGTTAAATGACTCTTACAAGATTGGAGGGGAAGGTGGCCTTTGCGAGCAGGGCAGTGATATTGGAAATAAAAGTTGGGATGAATATGAGAAACTCTTTATGAACAAAGAATCAGTAAGGTTTCACAATTGATTAAATGTGGGAAGTAAAGGAAAGACAGACTGTGGAGAAGAAGGGAGAACCCTACAGGTAACCAAATGACTCTTCTGGTACCTGAAGTACCACAAAGATTTGAAAGTCTCTTTTTGGCTTAATGAATTTATGTTTTGCTTTTAAATGTGTCCATGTTCTGGTTTCACTATTCTTTCTTTTAGGCCGGATTAGGAATAAGCCTGAGGTGGATGAAGCTGCAGTTGATGCCATCCTCTCCCTAAATATTATTTCTGCCAAGTACCTGAAGTCTTCCCACAACTCCAGCAGGTGGGGCACCCTGAGCAGCGCGATGAGTCAGCCCCTGTGGGGGTTGATCAGTACACCATTAGATTCCTCATTTGTTCATGACTCCCAGTTCAGGTGAAGAAACTAGTTCCCTTCTCACTTCAAAAATCCCTGTTTCCTCCCCTGCCCACCCAGCTCTCCAAAAAGAAAGAAAGAAACAATCAAAGACATGTGTATGTGATCAGTTACCCTTAGAGATGGAAATGTCCTATCCCATATGGAGTTTGAGTAGATGCAACACAATAAAGAAAAATCAGAAAAAGAAAACTCAGGGCCGGCCCTGTGGCTCACTCAGGAGAGTGCGGTGCTGTTAACGCCAAGGCCGTGGGTTTGGATCCTATATAGGGATGGCCGGTGCGCTCACTGGCTGAGCATGGTGCAGACTACACCAAGCCAAGGGTTGTGATCCCCTTACTGGTCAAAAAAAAAAAAAGAAAGAAAAAGAAAACTCAGCATGCTACCCAAGGGTTTAAAAATACAAACTAATTATTGCTAAGACTAGCGGCTGGCTGATTAGCTCAGTTGGTTAGAATGTGGTGCTGATAACACCAAGGTCCATGGTTCGATCCCTGGACTGGCTAGCATCTAAATAAGTAAATATTGCTAAGACTAAATGTTTTTCTGTGAACTGGTTGCTATGGAGAAAGGCTTCTCACTCCTGAGTATCACGGAAATGTGCCCTCCAAGGGATACTGAGGCAAGCCTCTTATGTTTAGGCTTTGCTGCTGCTAGTGTAGGCTCAATTATTCTCAGTATTTGCTTTTCATTTTCATTTATGTGTAAAGGTGTGATAAATTAAGTTTCTCTTAAAATTCCCTTTTATAATCATGTGATTACAGACATTGCATAAAGTATGTAGCCATTTTACTTTCCCATTGTAGAGTGGAACTAAACCTGCTGGGGGACTCTTATGCCCCTACCCCCCACCCCCAAAGGAATTATGTCATTGTCTCAAAGATTCCCTCTCTTCATATCATCACGGCTGGGAAACAGGAGCAGCTGCGTGTTCTGATGTGGGCTGAAAATGCTGCCTTCAAGTTACAAGACTTCCCTGCACTTCTCTTTGCTCTAGAGAAACTTGCTTGCATCTGTGTTGAGAAGAGGGAAGGGGAAAATAAGACAGTAGGCAGAAACAGAATGAAAAGTTTGGGCCAGGATTAATTCTTTCCATTGTGTTCTTGTATTATACTTTTGCTACATGGAAGAGAAGAAAGAAACAAACTTTTCTTTGCTTTTTTGCATATAAGAGGAGCTGTAGGGGGAGGGGTGGCAGAGATAAAGAGGGGTGCTTTGACCATCCCTAGGCCAAATTATGAACAATATCATTTCTCTGAAGTTAGCAGTAACTCCATTTTCTCTCTTCTGCTAGATATTTTATAGCCAGTGCTTAGCTGGCATTCACATTTTCTTTGCAACTGTGAAAACTGTATCTTAAATTTCCCTATGGTAATTATCAAAATACACAGGGAAAATGGTGTTTGGTAGAAATTTGGTTGTGCTAAGTTTGTCTGCATTAGAGTAACCTTGAAAAGTCCTTTGATTTATGTCTAGCAGCAGGTCAGGTGCTGTAGAAAATGAATTTGGCTTTGTTAGAAGCAGCTTATCTTATATAATAGAAGTTTAGAGTTAGTTAATCAAAAAGTTGGCTAAAGTCAAGAATAATAGAAAGATAATCCACTTTAAACATCTTTGTTTTAATTTAAACTATACGAATGTACATTAATTTATCAAGTTCTTGCTGTAGGGCCAAGGCCTTTTCTTTAATTACATGACCATTTGTTGGAATTCTGATTGTTTGTCTCATAAAACCACACCCATAATTCATCTTCTATAATTTTCAGTTTGGTGAACAAGAACTAGAAACCTATGCAAAAAATCTAAGTCCAAAATTCTTTAAACTTTTTATCATCTATCACTAACATTTGGTCATTTAAACATTTGATCATTTTCCCCTTGCTTTTATGTTTATCTAACTCAAACTTAATTTAACAGCTATCTTTAAACAACTCATCATTGGGGCCGGCCCGGTGGCGCACTGCTGTAGTGCGCCACTTGGGAAGCGCGGTGGCGCTCCCGCCGAGGGTTTGGATCCCACATACAGACCGGCCGCTCACTGGCTGAGCGAGGGGCGGGAGCAACACCGAGGGTTGCGATCCCGTGGCCGGTCCTGGTCCGGTATGGGCGTGACACTGAGGGTTGCGATCCGTTGCCGGACACGAAAAAAGACAAAAAGGAAAAAAATAAAAAATAAACAACTCATCATTATCAGATCTTTTAAAAACAGTCACCTTTGTTTTCACAGAAACAAAAATTCTTGGGCCGGCCCGGTGGCGCACTGGATAAGTGCGCCGCTTGGGAAGTGCGGCAGCACTCCCGCTCGAGAGTTCGGATCCCACATACAGACCGGTTCCCGCTCACTGGCTGAGCGAGGCGCGGGGGCGACACCGAGGGTTGCGATCCCGTTGCCGGTCCCCGGTCCGGTACGGGGGCAACACTGAGGGTTGCGATCTGTTGCCGGACACGGAAAAAGACAAAAGACAAAAAAAAAAAAAGAAACAAAAATTCTTTTTGCCTTCACAGTTGATTGATTTGCCTAATATTTAATTAAATTAACTAATTATAATAATTACAACTGGCATAAATAGGTTTGAGACCAGATATTACTTTCTACTTTCACTTGATAAGCACAGAACTCAACTCTTGGGAGCAAATTGTCTGGTCATATGAGACATCTCTGTAGTTTAGGATGTTCAGTGAAAAATGGACACTATTTATGTTGGAAAAATGGACAGTATTTATGTTACAGCTATGGAGAACATAGCTTAATATGGTAACCTTGCTAAATGGAATTTGAGAGCTTTTGTACTATTTGTCTAAGGTTTAATGTTTAAAGTTGAACTTATAGAACTCCAATTCGGATGTATAATGTATGTATCTCAGAGGGATTTACTAATGTATTGATAGTATAATTGACAAGGATCATTATTCCTCTTCTTCCCAGTCCTAAATTTATGTTAACTAATTTACCTGGTTTTCCCTTAACTCTATGGCAATTTCCTCCTATTCCCAATACTAAATCATAACTGAAAGGTATATTAATAGCGGTGGTCTCCAAATTCCCTTCTATGCCCAGCATTTTATTTAATTGAAAGTCTTAGGAGAGGGACCCATGTCACTGTAAGCCTGCTGCCAAATTGTGCCCCATTGAGTTCTCTGTTAATTGTTGTCCACTTGAATTCACTTTACTTACTAGCAAATTTGTCTTTTTTGTATACATTTTTTCTCTTCTGCTTTTCTTTTTTTTTCTGCACTAACAAAAGCCTTTTCTATATTTTTGCAGGCTCCTTCTTGATAAGGATATTCCTAGGTATTTTCTGTTTCCTTTTTTGTACATAAAGATTCTAGTTTACCAGAATACTTTATGTCTTATGTTGCTTTGATTGCTATTTTAATTTAGTGTTTTTTCCCCCCTGGTAAACCTTAGCTGTACCAAGCATAGAGCAAGACCTTATCCTGTACCCTAAGACACTCTCCTATACCCTAAAACACTTCTCCTTTGTGCCCTGAGTTTTTCTGATGTGTGTACAGTTTTGCAAATAGCTTCTTAAATAATTTCTAGAGTTCTGAATTATTTTCTCATAAATCTGAATTATTTTCTCATAAATTATTTTCTCAGTAAATTTGTCCATTTTATTCTTATGCCCCTCCAAATTTTCCTCTTCTGTATTATAAAGTAGAATGTTTCTCTTCTCATTTCATACAGAACCTCGGGCTTTGTTTTCTGTTCTCTTTGTCTTCTCTCTCTAAAAAGCTTGAAAGATTTGTTGCTGTGTAACCTTACAGAACCATTCACTTTTTTGTTTTGTGCTGTGCAGTAATAGACACTAATTCGGTTATTTGGGTAGTTGAGTCTGTGAGAAATATTTTATTTATTTTTAAACATACCTCTTTCTCCTATCAAGGTTGCTTGTCTTACCTATTTTCTTCTTTGGAATAGAAGAATATCCTGGTGCGGTGATGAAGAAAGCTTTTTCCCATCTCTCTCTTTACCTGATTTAGAAAACTGATAGACATGATACATGACAATATAGCCTAAAATGTTAATATATATACATATATACAAATTAGCTGATGTTATCGGTTTAATGAGTTTATATCTTAATCTGGACTCCATTCTGTTCATATTTCAGATGTTCTCCTAATGAACTCAAGAGAGTCCATCAGGTGTGACCATAACATAAGAACTTGGTTTTCAAATTGTTCATAATTAATAAATTCAAGGAAATAAATTCTTCAAAGCAGTCACCCTGAAACCTATTTCTTCTCTTGTGCTGCTGTTGTTTGGAACATCTTGAGAAATCCATATGGGATCATTTTCTAACCATCTCAAGAGCTGTACAGGAAAACATGTCTCAGTAGTCAGCCCTATTTCTAACCCTAATTTCTCTTGCCAGCTTGCTTTAACTGCCATTTTTCAGCATTCTTGGTTGTATTTCTTACAACCATCTCTCAAGAATTGCCACCTGTGGTGGTTATTACAAAAGAACGTGTTGCAGCAACTTTAAAGCAAAAAAAAAGAAAAAACTTTTTTTTTCCTAGTACAAGAAGATTTTAGTGGAGTCAAAATTTCCTTTATGTTAGTCAGGTTTCTGCCAGTGAAATTTTCTCTTTAGATTAAGTGAAAACCTAACGTGAAAACAGAAATGTGAAGAGGCCTTCTTATACAAATTGAAAACATTTGCCTCAGTTGAAAAAGTCACCTCAGTAGTTACTCTGGGAGGTGCTAACCTATGGTTTGGAATTTAGTGAATCACTAATCACAGGCAGATGTGGTAGGAATTTCTGTCACATATCACCAACATCATAAATTCTCTCACTCTAAGAAAGGGGGTGTCAAAAAACAAAATTACAACAAATTTAATTGAAGATCTCAATTGGCTTTATTGCACTTCTAGAATTGGGCAACAAGTTATTCCATAGAATAGAATAAGTGTTCCAGTGAGCCAAGCAAGAGGAGAATGGTTTTATAGAGAGAAAAAGGGCTGATGAAAGTAGAAGTAATGAAAGAATGGATTGGTCATTTCAAAGTTACTTTTCTTGTATGGTGGGAACAGGAAGTCAGAACTATAGGAAAATAACTGATTAGTTAATATCAGATTACTTAAGGCTATATCGTTTGTATAAGGATTAAAGCAGAGGGAACTTCATTATCATACCTACTTAAGATTTAAACTTGGCTGTTATCTCTCCCACCTAAAGGTCAGACCACAGCCTAAGTGACATGGAACTTAGCAGGGGTGACTCCGTTTTGATTTTTAGTCTGGTCTTTTGGGACCTAGTGCAGGAACTTAGTCCAAAACCACAGCATCCTATAATTTTTATTTAATAGGGGTTTATTTCACGTTAGCACAGTTGTATCCAGTCCCTGCGATGGGACAGATAGGCCGCATTCCTGGTACCTTAACAAAAACAGGGACATGATAAAAGAGCAGCTCTCAGGATGATAAGTGTTCTCAGGTGGCTTCTGCTGAAGTAGTGGATATCATCACCCAATATTAGGATTTGTCTTAAACCAAATTAAAATGAAAAAAAATTTTTTTTTCTTTTTTTTTGTTTTTTTTCGTGACCGGCAACGGATCACAACCCTCAGTGTCGCACCCGTACCGGACCGGGACCGGCCACGGGATCGCAACCCTCGGTGTTGCCCCCGCACCTCGCTCAGCCAGTGAGCGGCCGGTCTGTATGTGGGATCCGAACCCTCGGCGGGAGCGCCACCACACTTCCCAAGTGGCGCACTATAGCAGTGTGCCACCGGGCCGGCCCCTAAAATGAAAATTTGATCTAAATAGGGCTTCGGGCCGGCCCGTGGCTCACTCGGGAGAGTGCGGTGCTGATAATACCAAGGCCCCGGGTTTGGATCCCATATAGGGATGGCCAGTTCACTCACTGGCTGAGCATGGTGCTAACAACACCAAGTCAAGGGTTAAGATCCTGTTACCGGTCATCTTTTAAAAAAAATAAAATAAATAGGGCTTCGCGGAGCATGAAGGGTTTTCTGCTGAACCCAGGGAGCCCAGGAGCCATGGAAAGACTTCCATCATCCATCATTTCCGTTGCTGTTTGGGTCACTTGGTGGCTTTGCCTGTCTTGTTAGTTGTCCCGACCTGCAGGATATTCAATGCAGACCCTGGAGGGGGGAGTGGGAATGGGATGGAACAAGAGATGCGAGAAATTGAGACAAGACAGTATTCTGATCAAGTCTCGTTTATTGGCTCTAAAGTTACATCTTATATAGGAAAAAGCAGGCATATTGTAAGGAGTCAGGAATGCAGGAATATGATAAGATCTTGAGAGGAAACAAAGACAGGACACTCCTGATGCAGTGCAGCCCCCAATCTTTACAGTAAAGCAGAAACTTAGCAGAAGATGAAAGATCACCCTTGAGTAAACTTGCATAGCCAGGAACACAAAGCCCCAGGCATAAACAGATTTCGAGGCAGACACCACGTAAGCATGGCCATCTGGCGCAAGCAGATTGTCACGTAGGCCTGGTCAGACAAGAAGGGGTGTGGGGCTACAGGCTCCCAACAGTTAGTTGCCCCTATATTCCTCTGGTGTCTTTGTAGAAAAATTTCTTGACCCACACTTGCTGCTTTAAAAGCCGGACATTTAAGACAGTATCAAGTACCTGAAGAAGACTTAGATCTAGAAGCAGCTACAAAGTGAATTGATCAGATCTCACACACTGGTACTTGGAAGATGAGGTGTGGTCAAGGAGTTCACTTTCAGAAATGTATTCTCTTCTCTGTTGATAGTTTCTGGAGGAGGAAGCATGGGAGTCTGTTTAAAGAGAGGGTATGCTAGCTATTTGTCATAGGAAATCTAGAAGAGGCATCAATAGTGAGTTTTCTGTTTGGGAAGGAGTAAGGAAGAAGGTATTGGGCAGGGAACAGAATGTGCAGATATTCTTTCTAAATGAATTGGGTGAGCTGTGTTCTATCTGCAGAGAGCTAGTGGTGATGGGGTAGACAAGGCTTGTCATGTAGATCTGAGAAGGGAAACCATGGAGTTGAATTTGGAGTTGATCTGTAACACTGCTATTGAACTCAGTACAGTATTTCAGATGAGACTTCTTAAACTGGAAGAATTACTGTCTATTAGGGTCTATGATGTTTTACCAGTAGAGAAAAAAAACAATATTAGAACAACTTACAAAACCAGTTTGCGGGTCTCTGTTAAATTAAGCTTCTGGTTGTTATTTAAATGTAAGATTGATTTTCAAATGGCTTTTTTTTTAAAGCTAATACATAGCAGTTGGCTGGCTTTGATGTTAAAAAATCATTCTCTTTTACTGAAACATCAGCTAAGAATAACCTCTTGATCTTTTATTTAAAACAAGGGTCTCTATACTTACATTTTTCTACCTGTTTCCACCATTAATCCTCCCAGATATATTTGTGACGTTTCTGAAGCTCAGCAGAACCGGGTTGTAGGATGTGGAGACCTCATGTGATACAAAGACTGAAGCTTACAAATTACTGTTTGCTTCTTGCCCTCATTATTGACTGACAAGATAGATTAGTAGTCTTTCTTCTCTCAGTTTCTGTCCATATTCACTTATCCTTTTGATCTTAGTCCTTTTGATTGATCTCACTATTTCTATGATTATAGGCAGAGGCAAGCTCGTTAAAAAAAAAAGTAGCATAACTGTAAGTGCTACTTAATTATGGGTGGGGGCAAGAGGATGGGAGTCCCTTTTCCTCCTAGTTAGATAAGGGCTCCCCTGTGTTATTAGATTTTGATAAATTGAAAGCGTTGGTTTGTTGGTCTAAGAGTCTTTAGGATTACTGACAGTGGCAGTACCTGGACTAAGGTAACTTCAACTTTTGGATGACTCCCTCTTGTCTTTCTGATGTTAGGACCTTCTACCGTTTTGAGGCTGTATGGGACAGCTCCCTACATAACTCTCTTCTTCTGAACCGTGTGACACCCTGTGGAGAAAAGATCTACATGACTTTGTCAGCCTACCTAGAGGTGAGGAGACCAGAACTTCAGTTGCTGCAAACAGTCAGCCCTGAGCAGTGGGCAAGTTATAATAGGAAATGGTTAGCAAAGATTCAGTTTGTTTTGTCCTCCTTTCTTCCTCTGCATCATTAAGTTATTTATTTTATTGTATTTGTTGACTGTTCTGAATATGTTAGATTCTGTTCCTGGACTCTATTTAGTCAAAAAGTCACATGACTTTTATTCTAGCTTCAGCTTCAGTAGTAGCCTAATCATCATTCTTCAAAGAATGTATGCTGTTAAGGGCCGGCCTGGTGGCGCACTGCTACAGTGCGCCGCTTGGGAGCGCAGCGGCGCTCCCGCCGAGGGTTTGGATCCCACATACAGACCGGCCGCTCACTGGCTGAGCGAGGTGCGGGCGCAACACCGAGGGTTGTGATCCCGTTGCTGGTCCCGGTCCGGTACGGGCGCGACACTGAGGGTTGCGATCCGTTGCCGGTCACGAAAAAAAGACAAAAAAAAAGGGAAAAAAAAAAAAAAGAATGTATGCTGTTAAGAAAACTTCACCTCTTGTTTTTGTAGCTGTGGACAGTCTAGTAATGCTTAACAGCTCAGACCCTGGCACCAGCCTATCTGAATTCAAATCCCTGTGCTGTCACTTACTGCCTGTATGTCCTTGGACAAGCTCTCTGTGCCTCAGTTTCCTCATCTAGTAAACAGAGGTAGTAATAGCATTTACCTCACAGAAAAATAAATGCATCTGGGGCTAGCCCCGTGGCTCACTCAGGAGAGTGCGGCGCTGGTAGCGCCAAGGCCGCAGGTTCGGATCCTTTATAGGGATGGCCGGTGCACTCACTGGCTGAGCGTAGTGCAGACCACACCATGCTGAGGGTTGCGATCCCCTTACCAGTCAAAACAAACAAAAAAAAAAAACAAAAAAAAGAAAAATAAATGCATCTGTAAGGAATACCACCTAAGCTTGCTCATATTTGTTGAGTTGCTATTGAAATAATTGGTGGAGCTTAAATCCTCAAGTCCCCACATCTGGGACCAGCTTTCCAAATACACTAGTGCACAGACTCCGATCACAGATACTCTGCCTACATTTCATTAGCATCCACTCCTGTCTATTTTCAGCTGGATCATTGCATCCAGCCAGCTGTCATCACCAAGGATGTGTGCATGGTCTTCTATTCCCGAGATGCCAAGATCTCGCCGCCACGCTCTCTGCGCAGCCTCTTTGGCAGTGGCTACTCAAAGTCACCAGACTCGTAAGTTTTTGAGACAAGTTTAGCTTCCAGTTTGTTTGTACAGTACAACAGAATTAGCAGTCCTTAAGTATTCCTGGCTTGCTGTTTCACGGTTAGTTTACAATTTATAAACCATTTTGGTGACGGATACCTGGAGTACAGTGACTTGCATGCTGGCATTTGATAAAATGTTGATGGACGGATGAGTTAATGGAGGAAGGAAGGAGTATTATATTGCAAAACTTGCAAAACAGTTTTGCAGGGACTAAACGTTCTTTTAAGTGTTACTAATTCTAACAGATTACTATTGGAATTTTCTCCGTTTTAAGACTTATTGTATCAAAGAGCTGGCTAGTTAGCTCACTTGGTTAGAGCGTGGTGTTGGTAACACCAAGGTCAAGGGTTCAGATTTTCTTAGTAGCCAGCCGCAAGAAAAAAAGAAAAGAAAAGGAAAAAAAAGATTTATTATATCAAGAATAGTACAATGAATACCTGTAGATTTATTATATCAAGTATAGTATGACGAATACCTGTGCATCACCACCCAGCTTAAAAAATAAGTATTACTAACAGAATAGAAGGTTTAGTACCCCTTGCTACTCATAATCCCCAGAATTTATCATTTCATTCTAGTCAGACTTTTTTTTTCCTGCATCTCTTCTCTCTTTTGGTAAGAAAAAGCAGATTTTTAGTTTTCCCATTTGTATCATGAATTTTCTGGTTTATTCTGTTTTATCCATCTTACTGAAGCTGCAGTGTTTAAAATAATGAGATGAAAACAGGCTGCTTCTAGGAAAAGATATACTACTTAAGTTCAGAATAGGAACAGAACAGTGACTAATAAGAAATGTTCGTAATTATATTTGAGTATAGGTTTCAGTCTCTACAGAGGAGACAGTATTTTAAGTAAAGAGAATTGAGATTTTCCTGTTTTTGTGCTGTTAGAAATTAAACAATTGTTTTCTTTTGTTTTCTTCAAATAGCAATCGAGTCACTGGAATTTATGAACTCAGCTTGTGCAAAATGGCAGACACAGGTAGTCCAGGTGAGCTCTTATGGATCACGGAGTTGATAGTTATCTTTGCATATGTTTCAAGTATATTACATAAAAAAATTGGAGAGCCTACCTGTGTAGGATAGACATAAAATCTTTTAGAAACAAACAAAAAGAAACCGTGTGTGTTTTACCATGTGTGGTGGTGGTGGTAGGAGTTATCTTTTTCTGAGTTGCAACATTGTTTGGTTTATAATGAGCAGTAAGGTTATAAAAATTGTAAAGAACAAAATGTTGCTAGGCTATGAAATATTGTAAAAAATTTGAGTGAATTAGAATGAATTTGGTTTGGAAAACTTCATAACCATTTCCCTCCTACCCAAAGATAACTTGGCAGTGTAACTTTAACAGATGCTGTCAAACTAGAATTTGAATTTCCTGCCCTAGAAAGACAAATTATTAGGTCACATTTGTTCTACGTCCTTTCCAATGTCTTTTTAGACTGCTGTTGTTTCTCTAGCCGGGTGGACTTAAGCAGCACTTAATTTCTATGTTCGTAAACAGGAACATGAACAAAAGTCAGAGTTTTTTAGAAGCATTTAATTAATGTGAGTTAGAGTCATTTTAGGGAACATATATGGAAAAGAAGTCAGGGCCCATAGGTGAGATTTAGATAAATAAAGATAACTTTGAGTATGTGCCCAAGTCCCAATAGCAGCTAATTATACTGTCCAGATAGTTCCTTGAGGAATTTTAAAAATTAACGTAAATTCATGTATTTCATATATAAAAAACCAGTATAACATTTTTAAAAAGTAAATGGGAAATGATGGAGGCTAAAGCCATCTGTCATCTACTGGCCACTGAACTACTGATGTGTGTGTGTGTGTATAGTACCTTCTCACTTTTTTTAATTTTTATTTTATTTTATTTATTTATTTTTAAATTTTATTTTGTCAATATACATTGTGGTTGATTTTTGTGGCCCCTTACCAAAACCTCCCTCCCTCCTCCCTCTCCTCCCTCCCACCCAACAATGTCCTTTCTGTTTGCTTGTCGTATCAACTTCAAGTAATTGTAGTTGTTATATCTTCTCCCTCCGCCGCCCCGGTTTTTTTGTGTGTGTGTGTGTGTGTGTGAATTTTTCGCTTTTTTTTTTTATATGGGTGTATTTTTTTTTTTTTTTTTTGTCTTTTGTCTTTTTCCGTGTCCGGCAACGGATCGCAACCCTCAGTGTTGCCCCCGCACCGGACCGGGGACCGGCAACGGGATTGCAACCCTCGGCGCTGCCCCCGCGCCTCGCTCAGCCAGTGAGCGGGAACCGGTCTGTATGTGGGATCCGAACCCTCGGGCGGGAGCGCCGCCGCGCTTCCCAAGTGGCACACTTATCCAGTGCGCCACTGGGCCGGCCCCTATATGGGTGTATTTTTATGTATTTGGAGTCAGTATATAGACTATTTAATCTCTCTATACTTTCACTTAAAATAACTTTACCATTTTCCCAAATTGCATTGTAGTCTTCCTAATTATCAAAGAATGTAAAACTCTCTTTTAAAAGAAGCTCAGAGAGTTTCTTTGGGGAAAAGGTGTGAATTTTTATTGAAAAACTAAATCCCAATTATCTTGAGACCAAACTGTCTTAGTTTGCCATATATAAGTTTTACTGATTCACTTTAACCAAAAATTGGAATTGAATTTTTTCTCTGAAAAAAAAAAAAAATTATTTCTTCTTGTCTTAGGAATGCAGAGAAGGAGAAGAAAAGTCTTGGATACATCAGTGGCATATGTGCGGGGAGAAGAGAACTTAGCAGGCTGGCGGCCCCGTGGAGACAGCCTCATTCTTGAGCACCAGTGGGAGTTGGAGAAGCTGGAGCTCCTGCATGAGGTATCCAAGGGCAGGAGATTCTCAAATGCAAGAATTCTTGGGCAGGGTTCTCAAAGTATCAGTCTTACACCCACCTTCTCTATATGATCATGCCTTCTCAGTTTTTTATCATAATGGAGGCATAGTTAATAACATCTTAATGAGCTTTGTGTTTGCTGAGGCAGTAGTGTTGATCTTCTTAGGTGGAGAAAACCCGCCACTTTCTGCTGCTACGTGAGAGACTTGGTGACAGCATCCCCAAATCCCTGAGTGACTCGTTGTCCCCCAGCCTCAGTAGTGGGACCCTCAGCACCTCCACCAGCATCTCATCTCAGATCTCAACCACCACCTTTGAAAGTGCCATCACACCCAGTGAGAGCAGTGGCTATGACTCAGCAGACATCGAAAGCCTGGTAGATCGGGAGAAAGAGCTGGCGACCAAGGTGTGACTCTCTTCCGCTTTGCTGGGCATTGTCTCACCATGAGGCTTTGTGAGCTGGTCTCTCAGTTTACTCATTTTCAACACCTTGTTTTGAGGGCCTCTGTTTCAAGGCCTGTGCTGACACTGTGAAAATAGAAATAAAACTCGGGCCGGCCTGGTGGCGCACTGGAAAGTGCGCCACTTGGGAGTGCGGCGGCGCTCCCGCTGAGGGTTTGGATCCCATGTGGAGACCGGTTCCCGCTCACTGGCTGAGCGCGGTGCGGGTGTAACACCGAGGGTTGCGATCTCGTTACCAGTCAGTAAAAAAGACAAAAAGGAAAAAAAAAAAAGAAAGAAAACTCAATTCCTACCGTTTACAAGCTTTCAGACTAACGGGTGACAAGCATATTATAGAGGTATGTGTCTCCAATGCTTTGTGAATGAGAGGAGAGGTCTCTGTAGAAGGCGACTTGTTAAACAGGCCTTGGAAGGAGGCACAGGAGGGAGCCAGTGGTGTCCTACACCGTCAGCCTTAGGGAATTCATGTGGGGGAGAGAGAGGGGATGGAGTGGAGGGTCGTGTGTGCTACACTAAAGAGTGTAGAGTAGATCCTGATAGTGATGCAGGAATATTTAAACAGGTATTTGTGTCTTAGAAAGATATCTTTGTTGGCAATAAAGAGGATGAATTTGTGGTGGAAGATAGACTGAGAAAGGGAGAACTCTTTATTATAGTAATCTGATGAGGAATGATAAAGGTGTTTTAATGAAGGCAGAAGTATATGGGGTGAAGAGGAGGGGGAATCTGACTGGATATGGTGGGGTAAGACGAGGGGTTGTTGAGGATGACTCCCAGGTGTATAGATTCTGGGCAACTGACTGAAAAGGAAATATAAAAATGAGAGAGGTTTTGCATTTGTTTTGTTTTAATAATGAAATAGTCTTCTAGTTTATTTGGGAAAATACGTCTATCCAGAAGTCTGCATGCCTTTTAGGACCAGAGTGACTTGAGAATTAAAGCGATGCTTTTGCATTCTTAAGCACTTCTAACCTATGGTGTTTGCAGTAATTCCCTTTTGTAGTCTTGAGAATGACTTTTTTAATCCACTATTTTATCATCTTTATTAAAACATATACTAAACTTACCTTGCTATATACTTAATTTCTAGAGCTGTTTAGGCACCATCTGAGCTCCATTGTGGGTTTAGGCATGTTATTTTCCCTCCTACCTTACATCCAGGGCTTCTTACACTGCTGTTTCTCTTCTCTAGTGCCTGCAACTTCTCACCCACACTTTCAACCGAGAATTCAACCAGGTGCACAACAGCATCAGTGACTGTAAGGTGAGCACATTGAAGCCATGATTTTTAGCCAGCATGTTGGTGACTGATTTCTCCACAGTGGCCCAGATTTGCTGTCCCCAGGTTATGCTGCTTTTAGGTGGCTTGAGATGGGCATAGCATTGTATTTGAAGATTTATGATATCTCTGGTATTTATTCTGATTTTTCAGAGTCATAACACTGACTTCTGAAGATAAAAGTATTCCTCTGTGTCTCTTAGAGAGATTATCAGTTGGGAAACATTTTGGCTTTTCCCTAAATCCCTTAGAGAAGAATATTCTGTAGGGAGATGTTATGGTGTTGTATGACAAGGCACAAGGAAGTCCTACAGTCTTGATGGCATAAAGTTTTTTTGCCTTCAACACAGTGAGGTGAACACTTCAGAGAACTTCTGTTCATTGACTATTCTAGTCAGCTTGACCTTTTTTTGCTGTTTCTTAAACACTCCCAGTTTATTCCTGCCTTGGGGTCTTTGCACACTTAACTGTTCTTTTGCCTGGAATAGGCTTCTTCCGGATATTCTCATCATTGGCTCCCTTCTCTCTTTTATTTTTCTGCTCAAATATTGCCTCCTTGCAGTGGACTTCCTTAACCATCTGATAGAAAGCTGACAGAACTTTCTACCCATCCCCTGCTTTTTTTTCTTTTTTCTTTTTTTGCTGTAGTTATTACTACTACTGACACTTTTTAGTGTTTGTTGAGTAGTTTATTGTCTTTCTTCTCCACTAAAATATAAGTTCCAAAAGGGCAGTGTCTCTGCTGTATTATAAGAACAATGCCTGGCACATGGTTGGTGCTTGGCACATATACATAAGATTATTCTGTTAATGCAAGAGGGAGAAAATAATAATACAGGAGGGCAGTAGCAATATTAAAAGCCAACATCAAGGTCAAGGGTTTGGATTCCCTAACTGGCCAGCTGCCAATAAAAAAGCAATATGAAAAGCCAGCTTTGCCTCTTTTTGTAAATGTCCTGATTCCTAATGTGGCACTCAGGCTTTAAAATATTTGTAGGCTTGTATTCTTTCTTTCTTTTTTAATTTGTATTTAATTAATTTATTTATTTATTGACAAATAATATTGTATATATTGGCTTTTTTTCTTCTTCTTTTTGGTTTTGTGTTTTTTGGTTTTTTTTGGCAGCTGGCTGGTATGGAAATCTGAACCCTTGACCTTGGTGTTATGACAGTGCTCTCTAACCAACAGAGTAATTGGCCCTTGGCTTGTTTTCTTGAATAACCTTCTGAAGCAGAATATTTATGAAAGTGAAACACTGATTGTGAAAGCTTCCTATTATAGAGGCAGCTTTTTTTCCAGCTGAATCTTACTTACTATATCCGTTTTCTTCCAGTTGTCTGATATCTCTCCAATTGGACGGGATCCCTCTGAGTCCAGTTTCAGTAGTGCTACGCTCACTCCCTCCTCCACTTGCCCCTCTCTGGTAGACTCTAGGAGCAACTCTTTGGATCAGAAGTAAGTATCACTGTTCTTCTTAATCTCTTTCTGCTCATTTGGTTCTATTTCTACCCCTACATATTTCCCCAATCATATCAGACATAGGAAGCCCCGTCTTGGGGAAAATATTTAGAAACTACTTTGGAAAACTTATTTTGATGCCACCACAAAGTATATAAGTAAGAAAAACAAGGAAATTTAGCCTAGATTTTATGATTTATTATCAAAATCACTTCTCTGTGATGTATCCTCAAATTCTTTCCCTTCTCCATTCATTATGCTCACTTGTCTAAAGTCACTTGGTTGTACTCATATTTAGAGACTACATTAGAATAGTTTAAAAACAAACAAACAAAACCTTCTGCTTTGAGTAAATGCTCAAAATGAAATAAAATTTAAATTTAAAAAAAACCCACCTGGTTATTTATCACCTATCTACTGTACCAACACTGACACAGTTGAAGGTAGCTGGAGAAAATAACACAATCAGGTAATTTTATTAAATTTAGGATGCCATCAACTGTAAGAGATTATTTTACTTGCCACTAAGAAAGAAAAAGCACTGTCAGCTAAATTCAACATGTCATCAATTATAAGATGCATCCCAATTTAAGAAATAGTCAAGTATGAAAAAATGGGCTTTTTAGAGTCAGTGAGGTACAATTAATTAGGCTAAGCTGCTCTACAAAGATACCTAACAATAAAAAGCATAACAATTTATTTCTTACTGAATAGTCCTGAGGACTGGTCCAGATTTGTGGTGTAGCTTTGCTCCTCATGGCCATTCACAAACCCAGGTTCTTCCCATTTATTTATTTCTCTGCCATTCTCTGAGTCTGTGGGTCTCCGACTTTAGTGTACATCAGCATCCCTTGGCAGGTTAGTTAAGGAACAGGTGGCTGAACCCCACCCAGAGATACTGATTCTGTAGGTCTAGGTTGGAGTCTAAGAATTTGAATTTCTAACACTTTCCCAGATGAATCTGATGCTGCTGGTTGGGGGCCATACTTTGAGAACTACTGCCCTAGGTGTGGCTACAGGACTAAAAAGAAACATATAAAGGAATAGTATTCATATTCCAGACAGTTGTGTTTACAGAGCTTTAGAATAGGAAGAGACAGTGTGACTTGGTGGTCATCAGTGATCAGTTTCTTTTTGTAGCTTTTGAAAGATGACACCAGTTGAATCCAGAGTTAACTTTTTTTTTTTTTTGTCCTTTTTGAGACCGGCCGCAGCGCACTCAGCCAGTGAGCGCTGCACCGGTCATCCTATATAGGATCTGAACCCGCGGCAGGAGCGCTGCTGCGCTCCCAGCGTCGCACTCTCCCAAGTGCGCCACGGGCTCTGCCCCAGAGTTAACTTTTTGACACTAGCTTGTCTCCTCAGCTGAGCTCTCTGAAAATGATGTTGGCAACTGGTGTTCAGGGAGAGGCATTGTGTTCCTCCTGGTGAGGTGGTTGTATGCAATATGCCTTGACCTTAACTGAAACTCTTGTTACCCTTTTCTTCCTAACCTCTCTTTTTTAAAGGACACCAGAAGCCAATTCCCGGGCCTCTAGTCCCTGCCCAGAATTTGAACAATTTCAGATTGTCCCTGCTGTGGAAACACCCTATTTGGCCCGAGCAGGAAAAAATGAATTTCTCAATCTTGTTCCAGATATTGAAGAAATTAGACCAGGGTGAGTACTTTATTGACCAGGGATGCCAGATATAAAAGACAAATTGGCAAGAAGAATTTGCTTCCAGCTCTTCTATATGAGGTCTGTATTATGGTCTGAGGCAAATTGAATCTGGGGTGAAAGAACTGGGCCGGTTTTGTGCTCCAATTGTATCTCAGAATACATCCCCACCTGGCATAGCAGGTTGTTGTGGCACTTTTTGCCTTTTAACTCTATTACTTTTACAGATAAGATTCTAGGCCAAATAGATCATTAGCATGTTTTGTTGAATATGGGGACTCGGCGTAGATGAGACATATTTTGATAGTCCTCAGCTCATGATTATTTTCTTTTTCTGAGAAACTAATTTCTCTTTTGTGCTGTCTTTTTTAGCTCAGTGGTCTCTAAGAAAGGATACCTGCATTTCAAGGAGCCACTTGCCAGCAATTGGGCTAAACATTTTGTCGTGGTTCGTCGCCCTTATGTTTTTATCTATAACAGTGACAAAGACCCAGTGGAACGTGGAATCATTAACCTGTCCACAGCACAAGTGGAGTACAGTGAGGACCAGCAGGCCATGGTGAAGGTAAGTCCTGCCCGGTTTTGTCTTTTCGTTGCCACACATGCCCTTCCCTTTCAAGTTCCAAACTCTCTGTAGTGTGGCCTCGAATCTCTCTTCTGTATCTGGTCTCCTTGAATTTTCAGTGTGAAGTACTGTGTGCACTGTAAATATGGCAAGGTGGTCCCCATTGCTCAGTCTCCTTAGTAACTTTCTCTCTACCTGTGTTTCTTCCAGACACCTAACACCTTTGCTGTATGCACAAAGCACCGTGGGGTTCTTTTGCAGGCTCTCAATGACAAAGACATGAATGACTGGTTATATGCCTTTAACCCACTCCTCGCTGGCACAATACGGTAAGAAGCTGTTCTTGTGTTTCCTTTATTTCCCTGGCTTTTGGCCCCAGGGATATCAGCATAAATAGGAAAGGAGGTATTGTTCTAAATAGGTTTAAAGGAGAAGAAGGAGACAAGTGTAAATGTGGTCATAGGGTGGTAATGTGGCCTCTGCTTCTCATAAGAGGTCATCTTGTGTCATGAACCTCTAAGGAGACTCTGGTTGCATTTGCACTGAATAATCTCCTTCTTTGACTTTTTCTCTTTTTTGGCGGCTGGCTAGTAAGGGTATCCAAACCCTTGACCTTGGTGTTACTGCACCATACTCTCCCGAGTGAGCTAACCAGCCAGCCCAACTTTTTGTTCTCAAGAGGTCTGCAGATGGGGTCTAGGGGATGGAGTAAAGGGAAGATTGTGAGAATCTTAACAGTCTTCCAACATTCAGCCCTGTGATTCAGCCTCAGATCCTGTGGGGGGCTTGAGTCCCCAGAGTGGGGAAGACTGCAGGCTAGCCATTTGTTTAGAGAGCCTAGAGCCTTGGGCCTGTGGTGCCAAATAGGAAGAACTTCAAGGAGAGGACCACAGAGGAAAAAGACGTGTGAGAAGAATCCAGTTTTCTAATCCTGCCCCCCCCCCCATCTGTCCCCACAGGTCAAAACTCTCCCGCAGATGCCCGAGCCAACTGAAATACTAAGTGACTCTGCTGAGCACCCTCACTCGCCTTCGAGAGATAAAGTGTTACCTCTCATTTCTCTTTGTGATTCTTGATGGTTACTCTTGTATGTAATCCTGTGGCTTATCTACTTCTCCCTCCTCATCCAGCACCTTTTCTAGCTCTCCTGTTCCCCATCTCCATTGCTCTGTACTCTTCTTTTTTTCCATGCTGAGAATCTTGTTAGTAGCATGTGGCTGACCAAAAGAAAAAAAGATATCCCCCCCAAATCCTGAAGGGATCTAGTGAATCTCCAAATTATTTTTTGGTGTATTTTGGCTTCCTTTTGTGTGATAGGTCCCCATTATGACCACTGCTGATGTCTGTACTGCTGTCTTTGGATACCTTTTTCCGTTTTTCAAGACATCATACTTTTTTTTTCTTTTCTGTTTGTGCTATCACTTTAATTTTTCTTGGGTGGCTTAGAGACTAAGGGAAGAGACATCTAGACTCTTTAGAATGTAAGAGTAAAGAACTTACCTTTTTTTCTCTTCTGTCTCTATTTGCAGTGGCTAATCTCTGCAAAGATTGTGGTGAGCTTAGAAATGGGACAGTTATATTCTGTGAGTCAAAACCAGGGCTTATTTAGAGCACAGTTATGGAATTTTCATTTAGTGGAAGAGAGAGAAAGAGGAGTTTTCAGTAGGCCTGGGATGGTGGCTGCCAATGACCCTTTAAGAAGGGAAGAGCCAAAGATATTGCCACTGGATTTCAGAGGATCACAGCATTTGGCAGTGGGCCGTGAAGGCAACAGTCAGTAGGATGCTTATGGTTCCTCACAGCAGGATTCCTGTGAACTGTTTTTCCCTGTTGGGAGGGAGGTTCTTCTCTAGGTGTCTTTCAATTCTGTTCCTAGCATTAGTGATGATGGTGGTATGGTTTGGAATTAGTGTGATGTCATACACAAGTATCCCACAAGGGGGGAGTGTTTTACTTTCTGTTGATAAACCTGATGGTTATTGTGGTCATTATAATTATGATAATACTGATTAGTGACCTTGTGATTATTGTGGCTTCCTTTGATCAAAGAAATGTAGATTTCAAGTATAAACTTGGAGGTCTTCCTCTCAATCCAGTGGTCATTTTCAATGATGCTTGTTTCCCCATACTAATAAATAAGCAGACATGGCAACCTTTGCTCTCTGAGTCCCAGGATTAAAACCAACCCTCTAACACCACTCCAAACAAAACAAAAGACACTTGGGGGCAAAGAAGGACATCCACCTGAGCCCTGGCCCCAGTGGTTTGTTGCTGGGATCCTGCCTTGTCTGTCCTCCTTTGCTACTGTCTCCTCTCTGTCTGGTGTGGAAATATTGCCCAAGGAGGAAGGAGGAAGCTCACTGCTGACTGAGTCTCTTTTCTGACAGACTAGGGTTATCTAGCTTCCAGAGACCATCATAGAAGATAACTCTTTCTTTCAGCTGCTAGTAAATTTTACAGGAATGACACTGGGGAAAAGAAAGTATCCAGGTTACTTCAATTGCTTTGCCAGTTGACTTGGGGTTGTTTTATACTATCCTTTACTTTTCTTGCTCAAACCTCTCTGTTTCACCGTTGCTCAGGCATTCAGGAAAGTATCTGTTCGCCCCCACTTTGTGAGGACTGAAGCTTCTTGGCCTTGAGGTTGCTGACTCTTAGGTGATGGGCAGCTGGATTACTTTCCACTCCACATAGCAAAGGTCAGATTCACACAGCTCTGCAGAATAGTTGCTAGGGAGACGTTTCACCCAGACCCTTTTTTTTTTTTTTGTCTTTTGTCTTTTTTTCCGTGTCCGGCAACGGATCGCAACCCTCAGTGTTGCCCCCGTACCGGACCGGGGACCGGCAACGGGATCGCAAGCCTCGGCGTTGCTCCCGCGCCTCGCTCAGCCAGTGAGCGGGAACCGGTCTGCATATGGGATCCGAACCCTCGGACGGGAGCGCCACCGCGCTTCCCAAGCGGCGCACTATCCAGTGCGCCACTGGGCCGGCCCCACCCAGCACCATTTTCTGAAGAGGCAGTCTCTTCCACAATGTGTAGACTTCATGCCTTGGTCAAAGATCAGATGGCTGTAGGTGTATGGGTTGATTTCTGGATTCTTTATTCTATTCCATTGATCCCTGTGTTTGTTTTTATGCCAGTGCCATGCTGTTTTGGTTATTATAGCTTTGTAGTATAGTTTAAAATCAGGTAGTGTTGTGCCTCCAGCTTTATTTTTATTGCTCCCAGACCCTTTTTAATGGCTTCCTGGTTTGGCTCACATCTGAAGAACAGATCTCCCAGCTTCGCTCATTATAATTGCCTTGCAAAGAGGAGGATGAGTGAATCACAGATAGCTTAATAAAAGAAAGGGTAGAAAATACAGACTATGTCCTTATCTGAAAAGTGATCAATAAAAACCCTATAGTGGATTCTTTTTAACTTTCTTCTTCTCCTGAAAGCATAGGTCACTAAACTGTAATGTTTTCTAAGCAGTATGTGGGGTTTCTAATATAGTTAGACGTTTCTTCATTGTCTAATGGACACAGTATGCCCTTCTGGTGTACACTCAAATCCAGCAGGACCTGTCGGTGCTTAGAGACAGCTTCCTGGACTGGAATTTCTAATTTCAGGGAAATGAAGATGAAATTTGAAGGTCATTTTAAAAATTAAATCACTGATGTTGCTGCTGTTCTAAAGTGTGACAGAAGGATCCATGCCTGTGACAGGGGAGGTGGGAAGCCTGAGTGAGAGTGAAATTATGTAATACACTGAAATGACTTTTGTTTTTATTCTAACTCAAACAAAACTGGTTTGGAAAGTCTTTGCTTTGGAAGTGCCAGACATTAGAACAAGCCAAACTGGACTGTCGTTCATAACATGTCCAGATAAAAAGGCCCCATTAGGAAGCCAGAGGAAGCAGGATGGTTGTGTCCTGTCAGGGACTTGGGCATGCTGCTCCCACCATCTGAGGAGCTTCTGCTGGGACTGATGGCCCAGAGAACACCTGTTGACCCCTCTTTCTCTAGGGGCCCATCTTCAGACTGGAGTTGAAACAGTTTCAGGATTGATATTCCCTTTCTGACAGGGCTGTCTGTACTTTGAAATTCTGAGAGAGGATTTATGGCAAAAACTATTTATGAGGCTTTAGCTATAGCTATAATGGCAGAAAACGTGAGAAACCTGACCCTTAAAGAAACCACCTTTTAGGGTGTTTTTTTGTTTTGTTTTGTTTTTTTCTTAAAGCACTTGTTAAATGAGTAAAAAAAGGCACAAAAGAAAACTCTTACGCCGATTAAAAAGAAATGAATGACAGTTATAACTTTTAAGAAGATTATCTTCTCCTCCCCTCACTCCCCCACCCTCTTTTTTTCTGCCACAGCAAACTTCACAACCAACTCCAAACCAGTGCTCGGACCCTCCCTGTCTCTCTGCACCTGCCTGGGAGTCAGTCAGCTCTTAGGCTGGGGCTGTGCGAGGCTGGCCAGCCCCTGCACAGTCAGGAGCACAGGCATGGGCTGCTCTGGCAGCAGACACCTTCCCTCCGACTCTTTGTTAGAAGGTGGGGAAGGTGAGGGAAGGTGAATTTTCCCAGCTAAGAAACCACTATTATTTGATAGGTTTTTTTCCCTTCAGCTATTTAGAACTTATACAGCTACTCATATCTTCAATGAATTTTTCAGCTTGCTGAAGGTTAAAGAATAAAGTCATTGTGAAGGGTCTTTTGGGATCTAAAAACAAGACGGCATAGATTTCAAAGCAAAAACTTCATTGCCACTGCTTGTTGTCTAATTTACAGGGATATATAATTTTGTAAGGTGTATGTTTATTTATACAGCTGTCATTAACTGCACATTGGACTGGAAGAGAAAGGATTCTCTAGCATGTAGCTCCTGTTGCTACTCTTTCTGCCTTTCCCTTGTGCTGAGTTCCACTCGGGTTCTCCTGGACAGTGTCAGGGGTTGTTTGTTTGACTTGGGACCTTCAGTTTTTCTTTTGGTTCCCTTTTTAAAATGTGATGGTTAACCTGCTCCTTAAAGAGAAAAGACTAATTCTGCTGCTGCTCTCAGAAGGTTTGCTGAATGTGTTTAAACTAGAACTCTAACTTGTGTGCACTACAGCTGTCCCCCACGGCCAACAGTTCACTCATGTGTGTGGGCCAGACCCTGACTGTATGTAGCAGGAATGTATTAAGTTATGCTTCTGTAGCAAATTGAAATATCAGCTGAGAGATTATTTGCAGTTGTTCAAAAGGCCATTTATTAAATTAGTATTCGAGTCCCATAAAATCTCAAGAAAGCCTCCAGTCATTTAAAGGAAGAAATTAGAGTTGATACAAACTTCATGTTAAAAATCCACAGCCAAACAGCTCTGTTCACATGGAAAGTCTGAGCTGAGGCTGGTCTCTTGCCAAACCCTGGCTGTTGCGTGTTTTTTTTTTCATGTCTTTGGGTTGATTTTTTTTTATGCTGCATATCCTGGCATCAGTTCGCCTGAGGAATCCATCAGCCTCTCGTGTTTAAGGCATCGTCTTAGATTTGTGGCTCTAAAGTACTTGTCTGTTGAGATTTCAAGTCTCTTGTCACCATCCTCACACACTACAACAAAACCCATGAAGCATAAGTGGCCTTTTTGAACCAAGACTTTGCAAACTGATCTCTCCCCAGTGAAGGAGTTGAGCACATTAGCAACAATGTACATTATTAATTTTGAATTTTCATTTTCATGTTCTATTTTGTAAATATAATCTGATGTTTGGAGCTTGAGTATACAGAATGTAAATATAGTTCTCGTATTTGTACTAATTCTGATTCTTTTGCTGTATAGCCATAGATGTGCAATGCAGACATTATCTAACTGTGTATGGTAACCTTGCATCACGGAACTATTAGTGAACGAGGTAAAAATAATAAAGGTACAACCAGTGCATCAGAAGGCTCTTGTTGTGCATTATTCTTGCATCTTTTAAAGGGTAATTACACAAAGATTTCTTTTCTTCACTTGCAAAGATAATGCGTCTCAAAGACAAAAGTCATGATGCCACAACCTACAAGTTCCTTTCTGATATTCCTGAAAGAAAGGCAGCGAGACCCGGTCTGACGGTTCACCAGAGAAGTTCCGCTTTATTCAAGGACTGCGCGTACATTTATAGGGTGCTATGCTCCGGGCCGGGAGAGAGAGTGGACGGGGCGGTAACTGATTGGATGGGGCTGGGCAGGAGGTGAGCCTTGACCTGTGACTGGCTGAGGTTTGGCGCGGGGGGGCTTGGGTGTTGGCGCCAGCGAGCTTGTTTACTGCGGAGAAGAACCAGGAAGGGCGCCATATTGTCAGGGCGTGTCCCTGTTCAGGCGCCCATGGGGTCCCTACAGTTCCAAACAGTGATTTTTATATAACCAGGAAAGCTTATTTGGGGCTATTTCTTTGAAAGTACTTTCCTCCCAAGTATGTGTCTATTTCAGCTGGACAATTTTTTAATTTTTCCTCCTAAGCCTCTCTTTGTGTAACCTACTGTCTGGCTAGGCTAAGGCCTGGAATCCTGCTCATGACGCCAATTGTAAAGCTATTCGGCCACACTAGTTGTTGGACTCTTTTACCTGCCGCTAATCCTGCACCGACTGGGCCGATTATTGAGCTAGGGTTGGGTCTGGAGCTCCCAGACCCCTCAAGCCTGTTCACAGGCTGGGTCACCAGACCCCCCACACACAGGTCTATGAGCTAGGTAACCGGCCAAAAGGTCCTTGGAGCCATAGGTTGGAAAGCATGGCTGCGCGGGGTGGACACCTGAGGCTGACGCCTGCCTGCCCACCTGCTTCACTAAAACTCCTCTCTCCTCTTTCCCTCTCTCTTTCTCTTTCTCTCTCTCTCAAGAACACAAGAATAGCAACAAAACTAAAAATACACATTGGCACACATGCGCACTAACTCCACACACACACACACACACACACACACACACACACAATTTGCTTTCAAAGGATGCTGAACCACGCCCAACTGGACCCAAGGCGAGGGCCCTGACCAAACTATTCTATTTTCCCAACACCTACTAATGATTCTATAGTGTTGTTGTTTTGGGGAGACTACTGGGGATTTGAACATTTCCGCATATCAGCCTAATTTAACCAACTCCCATTATGAGCAGAGCATGAACAGGGACCCCTATCCTGAGTGTTTGGGGGAAAACAGAAGATGGGAGGAAGAAGCAGCACTCAGGCAAGAAGTAATGATTTGTTTCACAAATCCAAGAGTTCCTGTCCTGTGCTTGGTGTATTGTCTGTATGCTGAGGATCCAGCAGCTCACAGGGCAAGCCCTGTGCTGTGACACTTCCATCCCAGTGAGGAGATGTTCGTTAAACAAGTTTCTAATGCCAAATAGTATCACAGAGGAAAGCAGAGGTCAATAAAAGAGAGTGGTGGGAAGGAGGCATCTCTTCAGATCATGTGCTCAGGGAAGGCCTCTGTTAGGAGATGACATTTTTTTTTAGCTGGTGGCTGGCCAGTGCAAGGATTGAACCCTGGACCTTGGTGTTGTCAGCACCACACTCTAACCAAGGAGATTACTTTTGAGCAGACTGAATTAAAGGATGGGGTAAGCCATGCAAATGCCTCAGCAGAGAGGTCTCCAAGCAGAGAAATTAAGCCCTTGAAGCAGCAGTATCCTCAGTAGGTACCAAAAATATCAGGGATGCTGAT